AGGAAATGCTTAGAGAATTAAATAAGGTAATATTGTGGTTTTATCACTTTATTTAAAGTGTATTTGATTTTATAATAATCTTGGTTGGAAAAACTTTATTTAGTTGTTATAGCATTGCTTACCTAAAGAACGTAGTATGTTTGATTTTAGAGCAGTCTATTTACTTTTCTCCATAATTGGCTTTAATAGTACGCCATCACCTATCGTCTGATAATAGGCTTGTATAGATTAATATGGACTAACTGTTTGATTATTTGATGCATCATTGATGTACTAGTAACTTTTTGTGGTTTGAATAAAATTTTAATCCATATTTCGAAAAAATGATGTAATTATTATTTATTTCACTTTTTTTCGTTTGGAGAATTATCTAGCCTTTTGTTTAGTATAAAACATATTAATCAGTTAACTGGAGGATGTCTGATTGTTTTCATGAAGTGAACTATCAGTTACTTTCATTGTGCGCTGCAAATTATTTGTTTTCGAACTCAATTTCGAAGACAGTATGCTATGTTTTTTGCTTACGTCAATAATGAATTCTCACACCACTACTATGGTATATATATGATTGGCCGATGCAAATTCTTCTATCCCTAACGCCTCAACCAGAACACAAGAAAGTCAACCGATGCACCTTGTATTGTTCCAGACTTAAAGACTCACATGGTTGTATACATCATTTACATGACCACAACGTACCATAAATGAGAAATCTCGGCCTGTACAAAACTGAGTCATTTGTAGTATAACTTAAATGCAGGCTTATAGTTCGAAAAACTAAAAAATACCACAAACCACTTATTTAATGAAATATACGTTAAAATATATGTACTGAATCACCGGAAAAGATTTAGCAAAGTTTTACCTTTTTCATTTATTCCCCCGTATCTAGCACGATTTTTTTCTTAGACAGTAGAAAACTTTATGTGCTTCTATTCTTTTGCATTCATTTCGTTATTTCATGTTTACAGGCATATTGTGGATTTACCGACGAGTTATTTCCTGAAAGAAAACTACCTCCAGTTGTAGCTACTGGGAATTGGGGATGTGGTGCTTTTAGAGGTGATGTAGAATTGAAATGTACGTAACAGATTCTTTTAGACTTTAGAGTTAAGTTTCTCTGAAATTTTATGGGTGTCATTTGTATCGAGTTTGTTATTAAACAACTGCGTAGTCCCTAAACCCTAATCGTTTCAATTAATGTATATTCCTTAGATTGCTAACTGCTTACCATGGAGCTATTTTTATTTACTGAGCTGTAAGTTTTAGTAAAACTCACCTTATACTCAAAGATGTGAAAAACATTCTTTTATGTATATATGAGTTGAACAATTTTTTGGATCTTTGGCAAACTACTCTTCACCTTAAATTATTTTCTCCATCATGTATTAAACGTTTCAGGTATACTTCAAATGATGGCATGCCTTCAAGCTAAAAAGTCACTGGCATATTTTACTTTTGGTGATAAAGAGTTTTGTGATAGAATCTATGCAATGTATACGTTACTTTCTTCTGAAAAAGTAACTGTAGGTAAGGTGGAATTTTTTAAATGAACTATTCAATATATTCTCGTTAATGTAGAGAGTGATATCGAAGTAATTCTAGTTGAATATCTTCGTGAAAATATATAATAAAATAAAATGATTCAAATAACTCTTATTTATCCCCCAGTTTAGATTTTTTCTATGTCTGTCACTACAAACAATCATGCAAATAAATAATATTTATTTTCATTATAATCCAAATAGCATTTCTTCATTGTCTAGTTCTTCAGACCAGGGACGATTCAGAGACGGATAATTATTAAAGTTCCACAATATATACATATCCCTCAAAGTTGCATCGATTGCGTCAATCAAATAAGAATGTAACTCACCAAAAGCTATCATTTCTTGTCATTCAACTTTAAATCTGTCGCGAGGTCGATCTCTTTCGTAACGTCACTTGATTTGAAAAATGTAGACGAATACTTATTAAGATTTACGTAGACAAAAATAAAGTTTCAATCATTAAGATCATGAGTCAGTTGAAGCTAGACCACCATGGAAAATCTGGAAGCACTGGACGGCCGTTTCGTCCTATTGTGGGACTCCTCAGCAGTGTGCATCCACGACCTCGCCCCCTGCGAGATCCCAACCCACGACCTACTGGTTTCGCGCGCGAGCACTTAACCACTGAGCCGGCCGGCATCCAACGGTGTTCATGTCTAACTTCAACTAATCCACGAAATTGAGCGACACATCCACCATTGTCTTCAGTGAGTTTCTATCCGGCTCAGTGGTCCAGTGGTTAAGTGCTCGCGCGCGAAACCAGTAGATCGTGGGTTGGGATCTCGCAGGGGGCGAGGTCGTGGATGCACACTGCTGAGGAGTCCCACAATAGGACGAAACGGCCGTCCAGTGCTTCCAGATTTTCCATGGTGGTCTAGCTTCAACTGACTCATGATCTTAATGATTGAAATTACTACAATCTCCACAAAACCCCTTGTGATAAAAATAAAGTTTCTTAAATTTTTTGACCGAAGTACCCTACGGTGTACAAACTAGGGTGCTTGAGTGTATTTTCTTTCTTAATTAAAACGACTGGCTTTATCTGATTGAGTAATCACTATCTAAATCTTAATATAAAGTTACAGCTTTTGAACAGTTCTGTCGTCCACTTTTTAGTTGATTGTATACTAAAGTTGACTTTAATGAAGGTTTGAGACCCAACTATTTCAGAGATGCCTAGTGCCTGTATAGAGTCTTGCTTCTGGTAAAATAATATTGTATAATCTCTGATAAAGATTAAATTCAAAAACCCTTACATTTTACTCTGGATTTCATTCCATATTTTGCATATGAATCAGTTCATAATCAAAGTCAAATTGAGTGTATGAAAATACCATGTCTTAACTTAGATTTTTAAAGAAAATATTTCAGATATCTATTGTAATGTTCACCATCACTAGGGATTGATAGACTTTTGTAAAATATGGTTGTTCTAATTATGTCGAGATATCTCATTAACGGAGCATATATTGTACCTTGGATTTGTGGAAATACTTACACATACATTGTTAATTAGAGTGAAATTAAAACCTAGTATTATATAAATGCATTTCTACTAAAATTGACATGTGATAGGTGATGAATGTCATTCATTTTCGAATTTTGTGCAAAACTCGGAAATCAAGTCCTATTTTAATTGGATCGCCTCCATATTATAGTAGTACTTTCAGACTGTTCTGTTTATAACTATTATCTTAGTATAAGAGTACTTTTACTCGTCAATATCCTCTTTTGTTATCAAAACTAATGGTTTATTAATTCCACCTTTTATAGGACGATTATGGCAAATACTAATTGAGAATGCTGGACATGACTTGATGAAAAACCAATCTGTATTTGATCTTATTTCTCAAACATTGAAGTAAACGTAAATCATTTATACATATGTAAAATACCACTAATTTTTATGTCAAACCTCTTTTTTATTTGCCTTTTCACAAACTTGGTAGCTACGATTTCTTTACTTTCGCTTTGCAACTTGTACAAAACACAAGGAAAAATAAATAAATCAACTCCACAGTGATAGTTTTGTCTGTGATTAGAAACGTAATTCATTTTTATTTTAATAGTTAGCTTTTCAGGATGGGAGTACAACCTTTATTGAGACAAAGTTCTGTTTCTGGTAACTAAGTATTCAACGTTTAAATTTTCTTTGAAGTGTAATTGCCATTCCGTTAAATAGATTAATCATATAATATCTATGTATAACCAGGAATATGAGTATTCAGTTTTTAATGTTCAAAAGTAATATTTAATCCAATAATTCTGAAGCACTTGTTTCTTTCCTTCCAACGTTAATGCGTAATAATTGTAGTCATCACTCGTACATGACTACTGATTGCACTTCTAAAAAACACAGGTCATAGATGATTGTACAGCTGCGTCTTTTAGCAACCTAAATGCTTCTGTTTGGTAATTTTTAATGTGTTTCACGCGGTTACATCATGCAGTCATACAAGTTCGACCGCTTACTGAGAACGCGATATCGATACCAACAAGAACATGTTAACACAAAGGTACAGGTTAAGCCATAGTTGTTCCCCAGTATGAATCAGTCTCTTATATCTAGTGTGACCGAGTATATCCATCTTCGAAACTCGAGGAATCACAGCTCACTTTGGTTGTACAAATCAATAACAGTAGATACTGCGTAGGTTACTGAAGAAAGACGAAAATGTATCATTACAAAACAAACTGTGATTGCTTAAGTCAGTGTTGTAAGACTGTAAAGTAAAATTTATCTGCTTACTATTATTTCGGTATGCTCAAATAAATATGGAAGGTGACAGTACAAAAATAGGCTTTTAATTAACTTCGTGATCCCATGATTATTACCAATTCGTTGTTTAAGATAGGATCCTAATCATTTCATTATGCTAAACATTCTTACTAATTCTGTTAACGAAGCTTAAGTATCCACACCATTAGCATTAGCGTAGTCGTTAGACCAATTAGTCTTCAATATAGTGGGTTGCACCTCCTATCCTCGGTCGGTTCATATTGCGGTGTGTTCTACTGATGTCGACAGATGTAAGAAGTATGTATCACCAATCGAAAGTGAAATGCCTGGAGGCGGAAGGTAAAGAAGATCAAGGAAAAGAGAACGAGAACAAAGAATGATAGATATGGAAACGAAAGAACAATGAAGTCTGAGACGATTAACTGATATTTGCAAAAGGAGCAGTCAAGTTTGAGACGATTGATTGACAGTTTGCAAATTAAGCATTTACTGTATGGTTCTCAGATTTCACTAAGATGTTCTGTGATTTTGTGTTCGATTTTCCCGACTTGTGTTCTCGTTCACTGCAATATCATTGACCCTAACAAAAGTAATGTGGCTTACACCTCCGTACAGAAAGTTGTACATGCTGGATGGATAACCTTAATGGATGTTTTGCTTTCCCCTTGATTTACCAAAAAATAGAAAGACAACAAGACTCAACATTTTTATTATTTTATTCTTGAACTGCGATACGTAGATATGTGTTTAATTGGGACAGGGTTAATCTTAGACATACTTGTAATTTTAACGAATTTGTCACCAGATTTCACATGGTAGTCTGTTGGTTCTAGTTTTGTTAATTTACTCCGTCCAGTATTACAGTTAACACCAGTGTTGGAATCACTCAGACGGGTGGGCTTCACTTTTCGGTCAGTATTTGTATTTGTTCTAATTGTGTGTGATTGATGTTCTGTGCTTTGTACGGTATCTCGACTGGAATTTTTTAGTTTATCAATATTTTCTAATTTATTTGACCAGTAATTGTTGTTATCATGGAATTTTTGTGAAATCTAAATAAAATGTTAATGAAATAGAAGGGATTATTTATAGGGATAAGCAATCATAGTGTTTAGTGAATAAATTAGAAAGTGAATGTTAAGGCCTTATTTAATTAATGCAATAAAATATAGAGGTTTATAAACTTGGCTTACAACAAAACGATTATTGTATCTATTCCGGATGAAAATATTATTGAACTAACCAAAACAAATATGTGGGAGTCCGAACTAGCTATTTATATTTAAAACTACGTTCTAACTAACGTAAAATTATTCAATACACAAGGAACCACTTAAAGTTTATGTCAAAAACGGTATTCAACTGCCCAAGTCCACTTCATAAACTTTGTGATATGCTTAATTATGCTGCATACTTCGCTAATGACGTGCAGTGGTTCTGTTGTAATGATTTTATCGATATAACTAAAAGCGATACCTTTATAGTCAACAAAATAAGCGACACCAAAATCTAAATTTGATCTAGTATCCGAAAACGTGTTTGAGAGTGAGGCAACAGCTTTTTATGACAATGAAGATGTAATGATAAGATTGCAAAACGGAATAACTAATGCTAAAGTTATATATAATTTGCAATAGAATAATTAAAGAATAGTTTAATACACTTATAGTTTTATCGATTATTGATGACCACAAGTTGATTACATTTAAAAAAAATCAGCAACATCATTCTACGAATTTACATTCCCCATGAAACTGTCAGAGATATATCTGTTTCATATTTTATTATCCGGTGTTGAATTTTTCAACTCACAACAAGTCAGTACCCACACTCTATGGATACCATCTGGCAAAATACTTTATTTGCCGTGTTGGTTGAAGCAAATTCAGGAAGGAAATATAAGTGACTGGCTGGAAGGGAATAAACAACTGAAAGAGAGAAGCTTGCCTAATACTATAACAGTATGGTTCAACATGGGAGGAGAGGTAATTCATGTTGGTGAAGTTTTAACTATTTACTTGCCCTTAACTGGAGTCAGCGAAGTACCTGTGGTACAGAATGCTCTCAAGAAGGAAGGTATACCAGGTGTAGGAATGAATTTGGAGCCAAAATACAGTGAAACACTTGCGGGAATCAAACAACTTCTATTCACTCATGAAATGGAAATTGTCACGTGTGCAGCTATTACATCGACACCAATAATTGGTGTTGAAAACAAATGGGCTTTCTTTCAACGTGATAGTAGAATTGTCAGGCAAGCACAATTCGCTTTCCGCGTGTATACTCCATCAATCATAGTATGGAGTTATGCACTTGAAGCACTTTCCAAAGATCTAATAACAGAGAAAAACCTTACACAAACATTGACTAATATAAAACACTGGTGTACATCAAAAGTAAATATAGCTGAATATAAGTTAAGTCCTTGTCAGGATATAGTGGTACAGGTGATGCCACTGACCTCACTCAAGAAATCAACAGATTCTTTGCCAGTTGAATTACGGAAAAGTACATTCACAGAAATATCAATACTTATTGAACTATCACATGAACCGATCTTCTTATTATTAAGTCCTGCAGGAAGTCATTTTAACTATATTCATGCTACTCTAAAAGCGGAAATGGACGAACTCATTAAAAGATCAGCGATAAAGGACAGTTTATTTACACCCGAAATCGCTACTCGCATACGAGTAGTCTGTCCACCAGGTAGTCAGACCTATCAGCCACCACCTTTGTTCAAGTCAATCACTCCTAGTGAGCATGATGAATCATTATTCAAAAACTCATCAGCATATCCACTAACAAAATGGTCACCCGTGTGTCATCCATGTCCTCCAGGTCATGCTCCTCAAACTCCATACGCATTTAGTGGTTGTCATTTGTGTCCTAAGGGTTACTACTCAGGTGAAACGAATTATCCGTCAAGTGGAGGATGCCTGCAATGTCCCATTGGTTTTACTACGGATAACATAGGCGCGAAGTCTGTCCGAGAATGTCATGTAGATGGAGGAGATATATCTCGTCTGATAATTGGAATCTTCATCAATGTATGGAAAGAATTTGAGCAATTTTTGATTGGTAATTCGAGAAAAGAGTTTACTACTAGAGCGGGAGAACAAATTCAGGGAACCTGGTTTTGGAAGAAAAACATTGGTTTGTCTGTAAGGATTTTTCTAAGTTTATATATTTTGACAGCTTTATGGTTGTCATCAATAGCCGTCTATCGGATGCATCTTTACATCAAGCTACGCAGAATGTATCAAGCTCAGTTTAGATTACTTTTAAAATCAGCTTTAGTGGGACAAATAAATTTAGTTCTTCGAACTAAACAACAAATAAGGACCAGTAATAATGTCCCTTGATAAGGAATACAACCAGTTACGCAATCGTTACGAGGATGCAAAATTAATGTTCACGCAGTACATTTATAAAGAAAATATAAAATTTCAGAGCAAATTTCATTTTATTGAAGAAAAGATCGTGAGAATTAATTTAACCGAAAATCAAGCCATGTACAATATACTATTCTGTATTAAGTGATCAAATCACTCGTAAACCAATTTTAGTGAGATAAATTGTCATGAACGTCATTTTTCTGGTAATTTAAATGAACTGTGAAGGTTCAAAATATAAAAAGGGTAAGTAGTTACTGGAGAAACGGAACTAAAGTTACAACTGGATCTTCATAATCATTTATCATGTCAGAGTATTTGTTAGCTGAAAACTATAGAAACTACTCTTTAAATCTTGGGGGAAATCCGTATTATTTAAGATTTATTCAGGGTTAAATGATTTACAAAGTATAAATGTACTGTTCGTCCTTTGTTCTTAAGTTTAGGTCAAAAATCAGTTTTCAAAACACAAGTTAGATCCACATTAATTGGATTAAATTGCAAAAATTAGCATAATATGTAACAGTTGTCCATACCTATCCCGATATTTCCCTTTCTATTCTTTTAATGTTTTTTGGGTGTGCCGCATCAATTAATCATGACCCATTATTCTGTATTGTAACATCAATAATATTCATTGAGTTCCGTGGGCTATGGCTGATTTTTGAATAAAAACTCAATGGACATTGATGTTTCTGATACTCGTCTAAACTTGTATTCATGAGTGTAGACTTAACACTGTGTTAAAAATGATTAAGATTCGTACGTGAAACCAAAGGATTTAGAGAATTACATATTTAACTCGTTTAAATTTCTATGAATACTGAAGAACAATTCACAAATAATTATCAATCTCTATCACAGATTGTCTGCAAGAAAACTGATTACTTAGCTTTACTTAATATCAGTCGGGATCGATCGTTCAAGGCTAAAAAATGGAGCTAGTATTTATTCATTCATAACTTTGCGACACTTGATATGTGTTTTCGATTCCCTGTTCTAATGTTGAAATTCACTCTAATATCATTAAAAGGAAAGTAATTAGCTGTTGCCTGTTCATAAATGCTAATATAATAGATCAACCATTTTTAATTCAAATCTTACGGATTCAGCTCGTTCAAGCCAAACAGTTTTCGATTCTTGTTCAACCAAACTTTCATCTCTATACTCTATGCAGTGATCCGGTTCACTGAAAAATCCAACCTTAAAATGAGAAAATAGAAAATAACACAGATGTATTTCACGCGGGAATGAATACTAGCATATTTTAAGTTTGTGAGCAATTTTCGCTGTTAATTACTATTTCTTTAGTGGTGGTCTTATTGCACTTAGTAGACGATTAATTCCCATTCAATTTACTATATTTATACTATCCAGTAGGAGGTTAATCTGTCGATTTTATTATGATGCAGATTTTACATAATATATAACTCATCAATCCAACCTCTGGTAAGGTCGTGGTTCCGCATCGCTGAGAACTCCTATACTAAAACGAAATAGCTATACGGTCCTTTCTGGATCTCAGCAGTTGTCTGAGATCGCAATGCAAACTATTATTGTTTTAAATAGAGGTCTTGTACATATTAGGCTAATTTATCGGTAATATTTACGACCAATTGATCTCAGTTGGGATGCTAATGAAAACCACAGAGAACTGGACAGCTGTTTTGAGTTCAGACGTATCGGAACCGAAACATTTGCCGCCAATGAGGTTGGATGGTCATTGCACCATACAGTGAATCGACATGTTAGAAATGTGTACCTTTGGATAATAACCCAGTAGTCTAATAGATAAGGGCTAGCTGATTGTCCTGGGTACGGTTATGAGTACTAACTACCGAGGAGTTCTATACTGTATGGAAGCAATTGTCTAGTGTAAGGAATAATATTAATTATTAGACAGTAGTTTATCTAGTTATGAACCTAAATATGTTTTACAGTTTTTGCAAGTAAAGTGAACTTGAAAGCTGAAATAATACACCGATGGGATAAAGTTCTATTCCAGTAGAGATCGTTTAACACCCAAGAAAGAGTTGTATCTAGATGGTTGCAGAACTTGATTTTAGGCACCACACGTTGTGTAAGTTTACCATGTAATCTCATATATCTTCTCTCTATAACAGACAAGGAACATTTCTGAAAGATTTTTGGTTAATTTCATGAGATATTTCGATGCCATTATTTACATGCAATAACCATATATCCGTGTACAGTAGAATTTATCCTAATGATTCTCATTGTATCAGTCTTTTCTTCATTGTTACAAGACAGACAATTTAGGACTGAATTAATATTTGTTTAAATATGAATAACTCACTTTGTGTTTATGATTCCCAATATCAAACTGAGTTAAATTTGGATACTTTACTTTTGGCATGGATAGAAATTCATCTTCCATTTTATTCTTATTTAAAACACTTGAATTTATCATTTTACATGCATTTTCGACTTCCATTCTTAAATAATGATTAGCTTGTTTAAGTGCTTCCACTCTTGATTCGATGGAATCAGGTGAATTATCGGAACTGTTTAAATCATGATTAGTAAATTTCACAGATTCATAAGGTGATGCGTTACGCATTTTATTTCGTTCTGAATACTGTTTAGATCTATTACTACAAAACAGAAGTATATATTTGTCTTTAACGAATAATATATACAATTTTATTCCTAAAATAGCATTAAAAATTAGGATTTCAATTGTAATCGGCAAACAAATATTAATCTGTGTTATGGTGTCGAGGAATCCTGACTGTTTTTTCAATGGATTTGTTTACTCATCATCTTGAAGATCATGTCATAATGAATCGAATAACTTCGTTCATTTAGTAATCCATATTTCTACTATGAACATATGTACCGTCCTCTCCATGTAAAGAAAAAATCTCTTACCAACTAGTCGCTCAGATTTCTCGTTCACCATATTAATCTTTTACATAATCTCAGATAATCATACAACAGACGTAGGACTATTATCTGAAACCGATTTCTATACACCAGAAGCCCTTAAATTTCAGGCATCGCGATTTTATAATTGATTTCTTTATGTAGTTCTGATTTAATGGTTGTTGCACCATTAGACGACTTCTAGTGCAATTACCAGAATCTCCGCAAATAAACTAAGCAGCTTTTTATTAGTTCACGATTTCAATTACCAATTTTTTAAAAATAAATTTATTGTAAAGCTAACTTTATGTTGTTTAGAAACCTTTCATGGCTTAACAAAATATTTAAGTCAGAAAATGTATTTTTCTTACATGAATCATCAGCGTTTATTATCAGAATCAGGAACTGATGGTTTTTTTAAAGCCCGTCTCTTCAAACTAAATATATATATCCACGACTTGAAAAGTTATGGCTGTCAACTCTTGTTTTGACAAACATTTTCTGTGAAGAGACTTTTAATTATTGCTATAAAAGAGCATATTTTACATGAAACTCGCCCTTAAATTAAAGTCTTTTCGATATGCTCAACCGGAATGACGCGGGATTAATTAAAGAGTGTAAACGGATATATCTGGTATACCACGTATAAGTTCTATTGTATGCATACTTCTGTCCTCTCACCTCACGTAAAATGCTCGTATTCTAGTCCGCATCTGATCTTCTGTCAAATGGATGTATCTTATTTGAGTGTATTACGTGATTAGGTATATACCAGCACTATACCACCATAATTGGGATTAAATAGTTTCTTTGGAAAATGTTGAGTATTTAAACCAAAATCAGTAGTAATAAGCGAAAAAAACACTGATTAGTCAAAATTAGTTAGTATATGGCGGCATGCTACTTATGTCTAACAAATGAATTTCCATGAAGATCATTCTAGGTAGTGTATGAGAATAAAAGATGATAAACTACAAAAAATAATCACAAACCTTGAAAGTTGAAGCTTAGGTAAATATTCTGTTTCGTTTCTTTCAATATTCTCCGTATTTGTGCTGGCATTTTCCGACTTTTGAACAGCTTGAATACCAGCCGAAACTTTTACTGTAGTGCTTTCACTTTTAAGTCTGAATTATAAAATTACAAATTAGTCTATTATTCTCAGAAGAATAAAAGTAAACTATGAATATTATTCGTCATTTATCTACTTTAAAGGTTGTTTGGGCATTTTTTCCCCCATTTCATTGTTTTTTAGTAGAGAACTTCAGAGCTACTTTCATTTTTATCATTCTCCTTAAGTTATTAGTGATTGTGTACATCCTAAATGATAGATAGTGTATAACTTTATTTCCTACCGTATATATCTACCTCGATAAAAGTGAAGAGTTCTACTTCTTTTAAATAAGCGGTAGGAATCTCAATTTAAAATGAATATTTCTTTTTGATTCATGAATGGTCGGTCAAAATGTAATATAATGGTAATATGTTAATTTGTTTTCCATCTTTTACACTATTGCGTTTGATGTTTTGTAGCGTTTTACTATCTCACAGAAGAATGATGAATGGTTTTAGGGAAATACTACATATGTAAGAGTTTGACTTTTCTGATCGTTAACATTAAGGACTGCAATTTATTAACCTCTATAGTTATATATGCGACCTGAGGGGATCGACTGAAAATTGACTTAGTTACAATTTTTAGTGTATCAGTTGAACGGAGCTAACTCAGTTCTGTAAGATGTTATACTATATTACTTCAAGAGACAGTTTTATACCTTAGATACTTTTCCTACGTACTATGTTTTAAACCATATAAATACACTAACCTTGTCGTTTCATCCAAATAAAGTATTTAAAGCTCTATTTTTACAATAACATATAAAAGCTTTGAAATAGTTAGTCACCTTAATTTATCTAGTTCATTTTGGACATGATTATATTCATTTTGTAAATTTTCTCTCGATAATTTAACTGTTTCAAGTTCATTGTACATTATACGGTTTTTTGATTCCATTGAATCTAGTTTCTGTTTTAATAGTTTGTTTTCATCACTACTCTGCAAAACGAAAAGAAACTATAATAATCATGTGTAAAAACTGATCTAAAGATCGTATTGACACAAAAGCTTTGTTTTAAATCAGTGATATTAATTTCATTGGACCATTATTATCTGCCTATCAATTACATAGTTTGCTAAACATTTTAAACTATATAACTTACGTTCGTTGATGCTTCTAAAAGTTTGAACTCTTGATCTTTGTATTCTTTCTCTAACTTCTCAATCATTTTACACGCTTCTTTCCATTTATTTTCCATTTGGTAAAGTGATTCATTTAGATGATCTGTTTTATCTCTTAATTCTGTTTCATGATTCGTTTTCATACGTGTAATATCGACTGTTGCTTTGCGTAATGCATCTGACCGCGCAGCTAATTCACCTTCAAGACGATTGACTGTTTCTTTTAATTGAGCTCTTTCGGTCTTTGCAAGGAAACCATGAGAAAATGCACGATTAAAACAATGAATAATAAATAATTTCTTCAAATGGAATGGGTTAAAATGATCAATACTGATTGTATTCATAACTTGTTTTTCCCAAGTATAATAAACAAATGTAGAAAAGTTATTTGAAAATCTTGAAATGTTTGGGAAAAGTCGTATTACTTAATCATGAGGGAATGATTACCGAGTCCTGAGTTCACTTTTGAAAAGCATTAAGTTTCTTTGGTTATACATGACCATTGCTTTACATAAATTAGACCGTAGTAACGAATTTTTAAGTAAATAACTGTTTTCAAACGACAATAGTATAAGTACGATAGTAGTGTAAGTAAAAGTTTGTCATATTGCTTGATGATGAGCAGAAAATATCAGTTAATGAAACCAAGTTTAGTATTATCGTTTATGCAGATCCAGAGTGCGATACTCAAATTAAACACATTCTCAATATAAAAGAAAACATTTGTTAAAAACAATGCTATGTTAGTTTTTTTGACTTTTTTTAAGAGCTTTTTATGAATAAGGAACATCAGATAATGTTAACATGAAGATGAATGTATGTTATTCATCTTTGTAATGAGTGAATCACATAACGCTGAAAAAATTTGGAAATGTGATAACAATGTGAATGACCAAACCAATAAAGCATTAGTATTACTAATTTACATAAAATGCTAGAAAACCAGAAGATACACAAGAATTTTATCGATAATTTCTTAAAAATTGTTTAAAACTTCAGTATACTTATCAATGGGCATTGTTTTACATTCATTTTATGTCTCAATACTTAAAGGACTCTTACTTATTAGCCTTAGTCCTAACAACTAGGTATAAAAGGAGGATTGAGACCTGATGAGTTTTGGGAACCGAACGTGACCACGGAAGTAGCAGGCTCAAATCGTTTATTTGTTTTAACTAACACCGTAAAAGACAGTAGTAACAAAGTAACTAACTGGTTACATTTACTTGTGACTAAAAATATTCTACGCTTACGAGGGATGTTTAAGTAAATGGACCTTTACTGAGTTTTAAACGTAAAGATAGCTAGGAGATAAATGGGAAAACTTTTTATGAAAAGAATTTAAAACTATGTCTCTGATCATGCAGCATGTTTTCAACGACTAATATCATATGGTGGTTGATCTTTATTTTGTTTCATTAACAAGTGAGTACCACTTGAGAAAATGAAAATGAAGTCATGATAACACTCGAATCTAATAATCATTCTGAAAAATCATTAGATCGTTATTGTTTCTAACAGAAAGACCATCTTGAAACTTACTCTTAAAACTGTGGTAACTTTTTTGTATTCTGTTATTTGTTGTTTAAGATCTTTCACTAAATCCGTTAGGTGTGAACACTGAATTCGGTCAACTGAATCATACTGGTTATATTGGCCAGTGCATTTTGTTAGCTGACTTTCGCTTTCAAGTAATCGTGATTCTAAACTCGATAAAGTTATTTCGTACTGTTTCAACTAGAACAGAAGAATGTAAGGTGACAAAGTTGTAAACTTATTTGAATAAATATTGTATGGATTGAAACATAAGTAATTGCGAAACTCCGTAGCCTGTTAGTATATCTTACTAATCATAAAAGATTAATCTATGTAACAGATAGTCAAGGTTTGGTAATTATGTTGCTTGATCATGTAATCACCTACTTTTATCATAATTACTAACGTTTATAACCACATCCCTTTTACTTCATATGAATCGATTTTCAACAATATAAATAAGAATTTATCTTTAAGGACAAGACATAAAATCATAATTTGTCTGGTTCTTTGATGAATTTATGTCTTGTTTCAAATATTAATTTAAGCACCATTAACTCAAGTAAAGTCATTTGGGTGAGTGTAGTGGTGAATATAATAGGTTAGTTTGATATTATGTGTTAGTAGTTGATTATGAAAGTTACCGTACAAACTTTACAAAAGCCGATTTTACGAAGTATTTAGACAATATAATGCATGGCAGGTTAATAGTCTGTTATTGGTCAAATTATGTTATATTTGTTAAATATTTGTTTGCACTCAATGTCGCGCGACTGACGTATATGTAGGAGATAAATACAAAATTATATCTGTACTGCATTTATTCTCACCGATCATCTATGTTAGTCAGTTGAATGAATTGAACCAGAGAAACTGACTCATTCAAAAAGTATGTTTTTTTTACTCATTGAAGTTCACGTAAGTTAGTACATGAAACTTGCGTAATATCACTATGTTACTAGGTGTTCATTTGTGTTATTTTCCTCAGTGTTGTGTATATGATTATGTATTCAAAATGTCGTATAACTATCTTAAATTTAAGTTACTCGATTTTATATAAGTGAGTTTTACTGGAAATTATCTAAAATGTAGCAAGATATTTAAGAAGAGCAAATATAATGAATGGATTTATAATTAGTTACAAGCTATACTTAATAGAGTCTGCAACTACAGAATTCTACTATCTTGAAAATTTCCTTAACGAAATCCGTATTTTTTTTTTAATATATTCTGATTAATAATTAGTAAACTCATGAATCAGTAACCTGTAGTGGTGAATTTACTCTTGATGAAGTCATAAGGCTTCTTCATCTTAAGGGGAACGAGTAGTGGATTTAAATATTCGAAGTTGGGGAACCATTAGACATCAGCAAACACTGATAAGCTGTTCCATTTATTACGAACTACTGAATAATGTTTCTATGTATAAGATGTTTACATAGAAAATCGAATAAACTGAAATTAATGAGACCTATAAAATTAGGTATTTCATTACTGAAATATGCGATTTGTCATGTTTGAGACTCGATTGCTTTTCCAACATTTTGATTTTAAATTAATATCAGTAGATTAGGCTTTTTATTTATTATTTATCAGAATCATATTTAAATTATTATTTGATTTAGGTAAGTTAATTGAAGCCAGTACCTTGAACGGCAGTCAACTAACAATTGGTAATAGACCATATCAAAGTAAATGCATGGGTATTCAAACAAAGTTCAGATTGGGTAGTTTAAAAAAGTTGGGCATCGGGTAAGTAATATTCACCATTATTGGAAATTTGTATTTTCCAATGAGTGAAAACAAATCAAATGTTTTTTATTGATGTTAATAGTTTTATTAATGTAATAGTAGACCAGAATTTACAAAATTCTCAACTTACATACAATAACTCGATGAAAGCGCTTCTGTATTAAGTAATTCTGCGTTGTTAAATGAATGAGTTGATACAGACTGAGATTTTTGTAAATTCTGGTTGACTATCATTTTGATGAAGCTGTTAGCAATAAATCACGAACAGCCAGTAAAAATACTTAATTTGTCTTTTTTTACACAATGAAAAACACGAACTTCTAATAATAATGTATATCAAAGTTGATTTACTACTAAGTTATAGTTAATAATATCATTTAAGAACATGATATTTTAAGAATGAGAAATAGCCTCGTCGAAATGCATTAGTACACGATTTTGACCTATTAGGAATAGATACAAATTTGCTAATATATCCAAACTAGGTAAACCAGAATGTTGCAAGTTAGGTTCTGTAAAATATACTATCAAAATGTATTTCACGTTCTTCTTGGTTTTTAGCAACTTTCAAATCATACCAGTTGATGATATATTCTGTGAATAAATAAGTGAATTCAATTGAACATCAATTAAAGTCAACGTATACAAATGATATATGTTTCACGGTTTTTGACCAAACTATTCATCACTTAATAATAAAACCAACAAAGCACTTTTAAAGTAAGGTACATATATAAATCAAACTAACCTCATCTTTTTGCTTATTTGCTTTAGCTTCAGATAATTCGTATTTATGTTTTGTTTCTAATAATTCTGCTTCAGTTTCTGTTAAACTTTTTGAAGTTGTATCTAGTCTAGAAGTAAATATTTCCAATTCACGTGACATAGAATCTAAAGCTGATTCACGTTCTAGCAAACGACTAGAAAGTTCTTTGTTGTGTTGATGTAGATGGTCCACTTCATTCTATGACCAACAAAATAAAATTAACATAACTGATATAATATTTTCTTGATGAGTGAAGTTTTATCATTTGGTAGAGTTATATAAATTGGGAAAATGAGTTGGTAAAACTTAGTTTTAGATATCTTCTTGTGAGCCAGTTTTACTGGGATTGGAGTTTAGGAACATGTAGTCTAATACATTAATCCTTTATAGTAAAACAATTTGAAATTGGGTTACATAAGTTTCTAGTTATTTAGTTTAACTTGAGTAGTGCCGTATAAAATAAAGTCTGGTAAAAAAGGGAGTTCTATTTACTTCAGTAAGAAGGAATTTTGTTTATACCGTTCAAGTTAAAACTCAGTATTCAAACCTTCCAGCCATTTTTGGATTAAGTTCCCAAGAGGTTCAGTTTTATATGTTTCACATTAAAAGTATTAACATATGTGGTATTTCCTTTGAGAATTATTTCATATTTCTGGATACTTTGGTTGTTTCCAGTGGTTTAAAGTGATTACAGACCTAGACAGGTATGTTGTGATCCCCTGTTCTCTCAATTTTAGTGGGTAATGATGACAAAATTTACGATGCAAAAGTACTTAAGAAAGTTGTAGCAGACATTTTCATAATTCTAAAATTATCAATAAATTAGATCATTGCTAATCACCTCTAAAATCTGACATATTTTATTTCTTGATTTACGTCTAGATTTCACTCTTTCTTTAGTTTATCGCGAAAAATACCAAGATCCTAGACCTCTTTTTTAAAACAACCTCGACTTGTCAAAGCTGAAAATCTGTATTTAACTTTCAGTGGCGTCTAGGATGAGGGTTTAACTTTGTCTTGACACATTTTAGTCAGTTGTTGGAGCAATTTTACACCAATGGGTGCTGAACCACATTGTAAAACTAACACTTCTCTCGATCTTGTAGGGACATCGCGCATTGATTTAAAAGGGGATTTAGTGTCTATATTTTTACGAATTATTAGTTTTAGTTGTATCTTTCAAGGCTGTGAACTGGCCAATGAAAACTCTTCATACATGTTTTCATCAACTATACGATTTAACAATTTGGATAATTAGACTATATATACCAGTTTGAACTGGTACTCATTATGAAAAACTAAAGGAAATCCTCCAAAACTATCGTAATAACAACAAGGCTATGAAAACATGCCCCTCATATGGTTCAAACTTGATATCCTACAAACAAAAATCTAAATTGGATTATGATAATTACTGGGAAATGCCTCTTCATGTGAAAATCTGTATGAACTTCTGTTTCATCATACTCTATTTCGTACGCATTTATTTATTTATTTATGGCTTTATTCAATATTATATTTTGGTACAATAATGAATTCTCAGAACAAAAATATTTCAACAAGTTTCTTTTACAGAAAAAAAGGTTAATAAGGGGATGGTTAGTATCTGATAAAATAACACCTTCCAGGAGTTTGCATGACTTTAGATGTCATTCTACAACCATATTAATTATGGTCTCGAAAGATTCACCACATACCTTGCTAACTGCCTTCAGCGCTCTCCGCAGTACAGCAAAGTCTTTTCTCAAAAGCCCGGGAAAGAATAATGGAGAACAGTAAAGAAGACTAGATAATATGCAAGAATTGACAAGTTGTAGAAGTAAATGACGAGTGATCCCAAGAGCATGCAATCTCTTAATGTAGTAAGTCAGAAGAAAAACCTTCTTCGATAACAGTGAAACGTGAGAAGACCAAGAGAGATCAGAGGAAAAGGTAACACCAAGATAATTGACCGTCGACACTGTATTTATCAATGAGTCTCCAATGGCACAAGCATCATGGGATCTCAAAATGGTGTTTAAATGCCGATCATCTCTCATGCTAAAGTTAACAGCTTGACATTTAGACAGATTAAGTAGGAGACCATTAACAACAGACCAACTATCAATGCGAGATAAAAATTCATTCATTTCTATAGGATGTAAAGAGTAAGAGATAGGCATACAAACGGTGAGATCATCTGCATATTTCACAAAAGTGTTTATTGTGGAAGATGGCAGATCATGCAGAAAAAAAGAGAAAAAAAGAGGTGAGAGAACAGCCCCTTGTGGTACACCTTCATAAGACACTAGAGACTCTGAACACTTTCCTCCAAACACTGTGTACTGTTCCCTTCCAGAGAGGTAGGAACATAGCTAGTTGGTTATCCATCTGTCAGTGTTGACGCTGATTAACTTGTTAAGTAAACGTTGTCTTGATATAGAATCAAAAGCAGAAGTATAGTCCAGGAAGACGCGTCGAACATACTTCTTACCCTTTTCTAGGTTGAACACTATATTATGATGCAGAACAGCAACAGCATCTAAGGTGCTTCTTTTGCATCTGTAAGCAAACTGATACTGGTCAATGCGCTCTTTTATCGCATGCTGAAGTGAAAGTGTCATTAATTTTTCCATTGTTTTGAGGAAGGGTGAAGTTATTGAAATGGGTCTGAATTTCACATTCTTATCACCAGATGCTTTCTTAGGTATGGGGATTATCTTCATCTTTCTCCACATTTTCGGTATGAGATTAGAAGAGAATGATCTATTAAAGATATTAGTGAATGGATAGCATAGGACGTCAGCACACTTTTCAAAAAAGGAGGTTTGGGATACCATCAGGTCAAAAACATCAGGATGAATTTAGTGACTGGAGACATTTTCAGACATCACTTTCGGTGAAACTAGGAACACAGCTATTTTTTAAACCCGTGAATAAAGGGAGCATCACATCAGATGACTGACGTAAAAAAGACTTATTTAAGTCACAAACATCCAGCTGGTTATCGGTCCTAATCTGTTTGTCACCTGTAAGTTCTGTAAAGAGTTTCTACATACTTGAAGAGTTTTTACCAGACAAGAGTTTTTGAGCAAACATAGTGTTGAGACGACGAATCTCGAGGTTTATCAGACTATTTAGCTTACGAACTTCACTAGAGTTTTTCTCCTTGTACATTCTTTCTTTCACCCTCCGTAGTCGTTTTAGTTGTGAAGATGTAAGTCGATCAAAACTTACAAAAATAGTTTCAGTGGGACAACAAATATCAAAACAGAATTTAAGGTAACAAGTGGTAACATCGGAAGTGATTTCCAGTGAGTCATCTGTAAATAATTCCCAGTTAGTCGTATGAAACATGTTTTTCAGATTTCGGATATTTTCTTCTGAGTGATTCCTATATTTGACTTTCTTAGTTTGATTTAAGAGTGTACTCTTCCCATGCTTTCCATATACTTTAGGTAAAACACGAATTATACAGTGATCTGAGCTAGACAATGGGGCACGTTTACGAGTCACATATATACCTACATCAATAATGAAAACGAAGTCTAAATTAGCATCCAACCGAGTTAGAAAATCTACTACATTTTGGTGACCTAGCGATGTAAGGAAGCTACAGTCACATGAATTGAAATCACCACATACAACTGAAGGCAGTAACAGCGAATTCAGTGAATTCATCAGCGAATACAGATAGCGCAGATGATGTGCAGTCTGGGGTCACATAGATATTGGTGACATAAACATATTTGTATTTATTCAGATGTTTTGGACGGCATCTTAGAGTCAGACGGTCGATAAAGTCATTTGAAAACTTGAAGCACGCAAACGTAGATCAACACCAGTTCACGTTTACAAAAGTAGCTACACCGCCGCCACACCTCTTTTTATCGTTTGATCGATCTTGACGATAAATTTTGGAATCACGTAGAAATACTAGGCAGTCCTCTTGTAAATCGTTTACCCAAGATTCTTGAATTGTGATGACAACACAATTACGATACATAGTTTGACTTAGTAGAAATTGAAGATAGTCTATCCTGTTAATTAGAATTTAGCAACTCGGGAATCGATATACAATTAATGTTGATTCTCTTTAACGCATATTACCAACCACCACGATGTCTTTTATTGTAGTTTTTTGTAACTTGTGCAGCGAAAGGTCGTAGGCTTTTCATAAACGCGCCTGTATAGGTTATGCGATTAATGGACATAATGAGAGGTTAAAACAAAATGAAAAAAAAGATAATTTGTTGAAACAGTTAGATGGCAGAAACAGGTAGCCCAGATATTCAATCAGGCCGCCATTACCAACATCAAGACCATTTGTAAATAATTTATAACAGAACTAGTTTTCTCCTAGAGCCTATCCAGCAAGTTATTTTATCAGTAAAGAAAAGGAGAGAATAAGATACTACCAGTCGATAGTCTGAGACAGTCTTTGTTGACAACGAGTGTAATAATGCTACAGGTATGTCTGTGAATCACCCCTTGTTTAATCTAACCATTGTGACAACCATAACTTGCATATCTTAAAGTAAATTACCTTCAAGTGTAACTTTATTTCGAATCTTTATTTACTGATCTGCTCTTGTTTATATTACTGAAAATTAAACAGAGCATCTTTCAACATTGTTTTGTTTAATTTAAGGATTGATTTGTGTTAATTTTTACATTTTACTCTCGACTTAAGATATGATAGATTTTAAATTCGGCTTTTTCATTATTTCCTTGTTGGATATACATAGCCAAAATGGTTTTTGTCATTCATTTTATTCATGAAAAATAAGGCACCATTTTTAGCATAATATTTTACAGCTGTTTTAATCTGTATATCCGCATAAACTGTTTGTTTTCGGTTAAACTTCACATTTCATTTTCGATTATCTTATTCATACTACATGTTTGTACTGTTAAATATGTTTATTTGATTCAGTTTTTGGATTACCTGTCACGAATTTATTATTATTATTATTACTATCTTTCACTAGTTACCCATTATCTTTACTGGTAATTTGTAAGAAAGTTCATTTGCTCTTCATTTATCCAGTGACCAACGATATTTAAAATATCAGAGACTTTAACTAAACTGAGAGTATTTCAACAAACAATTTATGGTTTTATGAACCTAAACTTTTGAATAAAGTATCGCTACTTATTTTGAGTAGTCTCTTCAGAAAATAAACAATTTTTTAAGTAGATACAATTTTAAGTAATTCTGGTATCAACTATTATAAAAGAGATTTAGTTTTTTAATCCTAGAATAAGTGACTATTTTGAAAGATACTCATAAAAATGAAAACTTAATTATTTGGCTTTCACTCCTACTTGAAATCAGTTCCTACAGCAATAAAAGTCTTGGGGCAACAGATACCTGTTCATTTTACAATTGTGATGTTGGCTTTGATTGCTAACAGTTTTCATCTTACACTGGTTTAGAATGTAAACGGTTTTGAAAATCATTCATTTAATCACGATTCATAGAGGTTAATAATAATCTGAGCATAATTTCATTGCAGGAGTAATTAGTTCATATTTATATCAAGAATTTTATCGGTGAACATACTGTGATATTATGAAGTTCTCTTTCTTTATCTGTTTTAATTTTATTAAGAAAATCATTTCTTTCACGTTCGTTTGAAAGTTCAGATTGTAACCGTTCAATGAATTGCTCTTGTCTTTCAATTTGTTCTGTAAAAGCTAGTTTCATTTCTCGAAGATCCGCCACTTCTAACTATAAACATAGACACAGATACAAAGAATAATGAAAGTACTCAGTTGTCACTCACTCATAAACCGATAGATCTAAGAAACTAGAAATTACTGAAAATTTCCAAAAAGCAATCTTGAAATCTGCTCGCTACATAAAAAAACATAACTGAATGAGTAGTCTGTTTTTGCAACATAAAAACTATGTACTATATGCCATTTCATTAAGTTTGAACTCTTGAACACCTTTACCATTATTTCAGTCATTGGGATACAGGTGTATTCCCCTGAAAGTCGTGAGAAACATGTACCCTGGCTACTATCTGTATCCAGAATCCTTCCCCATCAATCACATATCATTCGCCTGGAACGAGTGTCATCCTAAATAAATTTCAATCAAATATCCACACAGAAGGTTGGAAACCAATCGCAAGAAGCTCGTTTTTTTCAAGTATGTTACAACAAAACCATAAAATAAACTGGAGTAATGATTAACATTTACTTAGTCAGAAATCTGAATTTTATGAATTCTATACTGCAAAACCTGCTCTCAGTAGTCACCTGGTTGTTTTTATCTTAACTTCATTCCTTGATGATACATTCAAGATAAAAAATGGGTTATTAATTAAGTAGTTTGAAGTAGTTGATACTCGTCAACAAGGCACGCGTTTAATTAGAAGGGAAATTAAGATCTATAATGATTGGAACCTAGCGCAACTTAGTCGACAAACGTCACGTCGTTTCCTACTTGGTAATTTCTAATAACAGCTAAAGCATGTATAGAAAAGCTAGAGCAACACAGACCGTTGTCCTGAACTACTTAGAATTATTTATTGAAATCAAATCTGGGAAATCGCATCATGAACTGATTTCATCTGGAGAGCCATTGAAAGTTAGTCAAGATTTGAAAACCACTTAAGCTTAGATTCAATTGATTAACAATGTGCCGTCATCAGCCCATTGATTAATAGGTCCAACACTTTTAGATATTTCAACGACCACGTTACATTTAGACAATAAAGTTGAAGAACAATGATGTACCACCTGGTTGTGTCCAAGATAAAACTAAAGCTGAAGAAACAGTGGGCAACTATATAAATGACATCACAAAAGTTCAATAAAACTTTACTTCAGGATAATGACAAATTCAACGAATTCGGGATAGATTTCAGCAACACGTTCCAATCCCTAAAAGATCTACTTAAAGAAGAAGAACCTACTAATATACATATTCCTTTACTTTTGGTGGTCGACTCCATTAGAGAGACCTCTATATCTCAGGGGAGACACGGAATACAATCGACAGATCGGATGCAACTCGACGATGTGAACTTTGCAGATGACCTGGCCCTTCCAACCCATACACAACAACAAATGCAGGTCAAGACAACCAATGTAGTAGGTGCCTCTGTATTAGCAGGCCTCAACACATACACACAAACAAGGGAAAAACCGAGATCCCCATATACAACACTGAGAACACCAGCACAATCTCACTTGATGGGGAAACTCTGGAAGAGGTGGAAACTTTCACGTAACTGGACAGCATCACCGATGAACAAGGAGGATCTGATGCAGATGTAAATACAAGAATCGGTAAAGCAAAGACAGCATTCTTACACTTGAATAACATATGGAACTCAAATCAACTGTCAACCAATATCAAAGTCACAATCTTCAATACGAATGTCAACACAGTTCTACTGTACGTAGCTGAAACTTGGAGAACTAGCAAAACTGTCATTAAAATGGTTCAAGTATTTCTAAACAATTGTCTGCACAAGATACTTAATGTCCGTTGACCGGATACCATCAGCAAAAACTTATTATAGCGAAGAAATCTGTTTGTAATATCTCTTAATATTTCAAATCGATGTGTGAAACTAATACACAAATAGATTATGATAATTATCTTCACTTACCTCTATACGTTTACGTGTAAGATTTTCTGAATTTCTGTGCAAAGTACAATCTGCCAGGTTTGCTTTCACAGCTTCTAATTCACATGTTAGTGATTTTATTTGTGAAGACCTGCTCTGTAGTTCTGTCTCACTTTCAGTTAACTGGTGACGTATGTGTTCCAATTCCGTCTGAAGTCTTTGAATCGTGCTATCTTTTTCAATCTCCTGTTAGAATTAACAATAAATTAGATAAATTTTGATGTTTATAACTCAATTAAGTTAGATTTAGAAATGTGATTACGTTAAAAGTACTATCTTCAAGAGAGAGGATGTACGATAAAAAACATCTGGTTAGAGTCCTATTTATATGAACTGTAAGGGCAATAAAATTTCTTGTTTAGTATGTCTAGAGAAAGATCAATGGCTTTTGAGCATTGCAAGATAAGTAATCTAGATTTATGATGTATAATAGCTGTACCTTAATCAATGACTTGAAAATCATTGTTTCGATTAGTTAGATGATATACAATATGAACTAAATATAAAATACAGCTTCATCATTGTTTTGATATGCTGTTGGCATATAATATTTTCAAGGCACATTTTTCATCTTATCTACATAAAGGCTTCTTGTTGTATGTTAATTACACAACCAATCAGCACTCTCAACATAAGATATGCAGTGACTTATAATTTAACGTGTTTAAAACTGTGAACGTCATCGTAATGATTGACGATCATACTGGAATATTCAATCTTGACTTATCGAGATACTTCTAGTTTTTATATTTATACTATCTCTTAGACAGAGACTATTAGCAAGTGGATATTTTTATTTTTTATTTTGCATTTTTAAAAGACTGATTGTATGAAGTATTTTAGGCATAATATAGATGATGTTTTATTGAATAAAAGTCTAATTGATCTGGGATCGTGAAAGCGTTATAGTCACTGTTCATAATTCAAATTTATCTTTAAGCTTTGAACTTGTGAAAGTAAAATATACTTACAGAGTTAATATATTTATTGATAATTTGTTCAGTTTGATTCGATGTCTGCTCAAGTGATTTTAACTTTTGCGTAATTGCATCGCCAGTATTTTGTAAATTAATAATTCGTTCATCTTTTTTAGCCAGTTCAATTTTAAGGGCAGCCGATTCGCTGACAGCATGATTACTGACTTTTTCTGCTTCCAAGCGTAAAAGTTCTGATTGTTCAAGTTGCTTAGTTAATTGTTGAATACTGAATTCTAATTCTTGTATCTAGTAAATTAGTTGGAAACATAAATATTTTTAAAATTTAACAAACATGAATCCAATTATTACAGTGTGTGGCATAAAAGAAGTAGTAGATTATCCGAATATTTGACAATCTATTCTATAACTAAAAGTTTGTATCATCTATTTAAACTAATTATGCTTACAAATGTTTATATGCATAGAAAATACACGTTTATTTCTTTTACCACTATATCATGATGATAGTTGCTGCTTAATAGGTAGCTTATTTGAAAATAAACCTAGAAATAAGGTTATCTCCATAGTTTCTTATTGTGTTGATACACCAGTTGACCTGATATGTATGATTTTGCTGAACTCAAATGATTTGACTATTTAATACTCGATAACAGCTCATAACTTAAGGGTTAACTTAATTGAGATATATAAACTATGCATGCAGGACATTTATTGCGCTTTGAATTACTCTTAAGAAATAATTAGAATTTTATAAAGACAGATTTCTCATTTAATCATCCAGAATCAGTTGACCGAGCTGTGAGTATAGCGCAATTGTTAAAATGTTTGTAAAATATGTGGATAACTAGTGGACAAATAACCGGTAGTAAGTTTCGAGTTTACTTCCCATATGTCGTATCAAAGATTTAAGCTTCTAAATAATTCCATACGAAATTAAAAATGACTGTCAAATGCCTGCGACGATAAATACAGTGTCAAAGAGTAGGATGGTTATGTAAATTGAACGAGAAGAGAAAGAAGACACCTTTAAACTAGAAAAATGAAGTGGAATGCTTAAATATAGTTATAATTAAACAGAATAAGTTATTTATTGCAACAAAAGAATGTTGGTCAATGAAACAGATAAGTCGTAGAAAAAGTTGAATACATTTAGACAATTTGGAAATGAAAAATATATTTAATTCATTTTTGTATTGGTTGTTTGAATTATATTTGTAAAAATCTCAGTAATTGAAATTGAAGAACTTCAACGTTTCACTCTGGGCAGATTAATGTGTGAAGTGTGGCAGATATTCAATTTTAACTCTCTAGAGTTTTACGAATAAAATTATCATCATTTTTGTCTTCCGAAAACTTAATACCCAACTGTGGAGAAACCACACATTCCAAACTGAATAAATGTATTTACAATCTCAGACTACTTTTTTTGAAAATAAGTAGTGTAATGCACAAACAAAGATGGAAGGCATAGGTAGATTCGGGTGATCAACTACGTAAGTGACGATCCATCACTGATCACCGCTCAGTGCTTCTGTACAGTTCTCCTAAAAAGCTGTAATAGTTTATTCATACTTTACTGATTACAATAATTCTAAAACTTCTCACATCGTGAATTAGAACAACGTATATAAGCAAATAATACTGTTTTCCATTAGATTCCCATCAGGATTTACTCCAATATACAATAATATTTATATGCATAAATGAAACCGCCAAACCAATCAAGATAATTTATTTCTCAGTGGTAGCAGTAATCAAGATTACATAAATGAACATAATAAGCAAAAAGTAAAAATTGATAGTGTGTTGATAGATGTACTAGTTGTGATAAGAATAATCAAGGTTTGAATCAATGTTTCATTATGGGAAGTAAGCGAACAATGAAATAACATTCATTAAAAATTATGATATCACATGCTAAAAAGTGTTCGGATAATTAGACAATGAAGCATATATTTTGAAAAATGGAGTGAAAAAAAAATAAACGAAGAGTATAGAATATAAGAATAAATAAGATCGCTGATTTGCCAAGGAAGTGATAAGGATCTTACAAATTTATAGTGAACGTAGATTTGGATTTTTAGGTCAAATACCTACAGCTTTTGCTATCTGTATGAGACGAAACAGAACCTCTAAAGGAAGGCTAGTAGTTATGCAATAAATTCACTTAAACGATTTATTTCTATCTACTGCATGACCGCTATCGGTCAAATGTAATAGGACGGAGGTGAGTACTTTTTTAATTATGCCCTTTCTTAACCGCGAGGGTACGTGTTCACTAACCCGCTTGCTCAGTTGTTTGGTTGTGCATCAAATGTAGATTTCTCCACAGGAGCAACTGAATACGTAGATACATATGAATGTGGAGAAACCAGATAACTTACCCTTTAGTTGTAGATTTACTATAGGTGAGCTAGAAAACTATAGTCGTGTTATTACGCAATCCCAAATTTTTTTAATGAATGTTATTTCATTGTTCGCTTACTTCCCATAATGAAACATTGATTCAAACCTTGATTATTCTTATCACAACTAGTACATCTATCAACACACTATCAATTTTTACTTTTTGCTTATTATGTTCATTTATGTAATCTTGATTACTGCTACCACTGAGAAATAAATTATCTTGATTGGTTTGGCGGTTTCATTTATGCATATAAATATTATTGTATATTGGAGTAAATCCTGATGGGAATCTAATGGAAAACAGTATTGTTTGCTTATCTCATAGTGTTACTGTTACGAAAATGTATTTAGGGTTTCTTTAGACCACGGACTGACTTTATTTTCAGAACCAATTGAAACCACTGGACACCTATCTAGTTCATTGAATGATTTGAGCGAATTTCTCCTAGTTTGTTAAATTATAGATAGACCAGTTATGTGAAACTTTCACAATCGAACTCTGAGGGTGAATTTCACCAGAAATTGTTTAGAGATTCATGTAATTACCGGTTGACTTACCATAAATTCGGAATTTTGTATTCCTGTCATATTTTGTTTGATTTCATTTTGTAGTTTTTCTATTTCATTAGTTCGATTTTTTAATTCGTTCATTAAGTCATCATTAGCTGAACTTAATGATTGAGTATACTGGTCAGATGAACTTAATTGGTTCTCCATTTCCATTACTTGTCTTCCTAGTTCATCTAATTTTATTTGTTTTTCATTCAGCATTGAGTTTAAATGTTGTATTTCAAGTGTCGACTCATTAATTCGTTTCTATAATGAATAATTCAAAAATGAATTAATTTGTTGATTGAACTAATTATTCAAAGTAATTTTCACTTAAATTTAAATTTTTCCATAATTGGTATCACATGTAGTCTATGATACATAAAGAGAAATAGATCAATAAGTTTGCCTAAAGATTGATTTCAACTACTTCATCTTATAAAGGATAATGATCAAGAGATAAAAATATTTTTGTGGCATTTTTAATAGATCATCTTAAGTTGAAGGCAGAAGGCTTTTTGATAAGAAAATCTATTAGATATTAGATATTCAGTTAGAAAGTATTCATAAAAATACCATTTATTTTCTGTAAAACAGTTAGTATGTAGGAGAAGCGCCTATGGTTTACCAATTACTGTTTGCTTCAAGTAATTTGAAGAGTACATGATTAAAGGTAACTGAACGTTACTAGAATATCCTAAGATTCGAAATTAATCACTGAATAAGTAATAAACATGTGTAAACTTAAGGGTCTTATATCGGCCGTATACAGCTCCCTAGAATATGAGAACTGCAACATACTATTCTTTAAGTTGCAGTCAACGGAATCTCAGGTACGGCGGAACAATTTATTGTTATTTGACAGATCACACAATGCCTTTGTAAAATATGAAACTCATACATAAAATACATCACTTGCATACCTCCCTTCAGTTGTTCTTTACATACGTCATAATTCCACCGACCCGGTTGTGATTCTAATCACTCTTCGTTTTCAGTTAGTCAGTCAGTTACAACGTAGGACCAGGCACATATATGCATCGGTCCAATTTGCCACACCTCTAACAGTGCACAAGACCACTCTTCGTTTTCTTCTCTCTTCTCTATTTCAGTCTTTTACTGGCAAGTATTCTACTTCCAATTCCTTTTACATACTACTTACTTCTGTCCTCATAAGTAGTGCACACTGTAACAACATCATTTATAATTACAATGACGCTTCATTACAGTTATCAATTTTTATATAATGTCAACATTCCATTTGTCAGCGATTTATAATTCAAATTTCTCCTTAACGAGAAACTAACTAAATTCACTACAGGAAAATCGACATAAATTTTACGTTATAAATAAAGTAACATATCAGTTCAGAGAAAACAACAGAATCTGTTGTAGCATAAACGTTTTGATTATAAAATAGTTGCTAGTTGTTCATCATAGTCTTTCATTAGAATTTATGATTTGACATTTGACAATTTGACAGTTTGGTGCTGTTTTCGAATTCCTGAAAACTCTATATAAACTGATTTGATACACAGGACCTAGTAGTGTAAGTTATTTTACCACTTAATGTATCCCTAATCAAAGGTGTGATGATTATATTTCTAGATAAGGTCGAAAAATACAAAGGCACTTTTGATAACTGTATTGAGAATTTTCACTTAGGTACTACAGATTAATAATGAATTTCAGTTAGTTGTATCATAGAAAAGATTGCATGCCTAATTAAATTTTAAGAAAATTCAGATATAATGGAATAACCAGTCTTATAAAATTCTTTTTACGGATTTGATAAATGTTTGACTATGCATGGATGTACACGTTCTTTATTTCAATATTTACGTTAGCTATTACTAAATATCTGAAAAATAATAAAGAAAATTCCTTAGTTTTTGGATGATCTATCGTTTAACAATTTTCCGTCATGACTAGTATCCAGCTATATGACCGAACCCTAATTCAACAACGAAATCAAGGCTGAATACAACCAGGGGACCCAACCCAATACTATATAAACAAAACCCTACTACCATAAAGGCAAAGTTTAATTCTCTTCGAACTGACAGTTCAACATGAAAAACTCATGAGTCTTTACAAATTTTTTGAATGTGTCCGTAGGGATCAGTGATTGACGTTGCTAGTTTAGGGCACTAGAAATGATGGGTATACTTACTGTTTAAACATCCAACATGTCAATTATTAAGAAACTTCTTATAAAGGTGATTCAGGTCGCATTTTTGGAAAATAACACATTTCCTAACACTGTAATACAGTTGAAGTTAATCTTAGTTTAAACTTACTCTTAGTGAATCTACTTCTGATCGTGAATCAGTCAGTTCTTTTTGATTTGTTGTCAAGCGATCGTTCATTTGTCCAAGTTCACTTAGCAGATAATTGACCTGAACTTCCATTGATTGAACCTTAAATATCATAGCATTCGAAAGAATAATTTAATATAATTTTAAACTACACGTAAAAGATCGTTATAAATACTGTTATTATATACACTATTTATGTGTATTAAGTCTTCTTAAGTACATGACAGGGTTTCCAATGTGAATGAACTAAGACATTTCTGAATTAAGTAGTTCCATATTTTGAATAAAACTGCTGGTTTTTATCAATAAATCATTTGTATGGTCTTTTAAATATCAACTGCAAAAAAACAAATACTTTTATAATTCCTGTTGAACTTACACCATAGATTGACCTGAATTGGTATGAAGCTATAAAACAGAATGAGGTATTTGTGTGAGTGAATAGTGTGAGATCAAGTTCATATTTAATATAATTGAATAGACTGAATTCCCAGAGGAAATGTTTTTGTAGGAGCTAAATTAGAAAGTTATTTTAGTATATAAGTGTCTTTGGAAAAATGAGATGATGAATAAATCTTCACAATATGGAAAATTTAGTCTAGATGAGCTACACTAAGTGGTCTTTAGAATCTTTGAAGTTACATGGATATAAAAAAAATGAATTGCGAAAAGTATAAAATAGTTGGTAACTGTTAATATTCTTTTAATTTGCATGATTTAACTAGATTTGAATTTAGATGCGAAAACTTGGCTGGTTAGCCGACGTACTGAATTGTAAACAACTGTCACGTACCTATACGACAGACTACACTTGGTGTTTGTACTAAAGTGTAAATTAAGTTATAGGCCGGGTTGTGTAATCCACTCAATATACAACGGAACAGTCGACCAGCTGTTTTGGCATAAAACTTGCAACTGCTCGATTTAGTCGAACTTTAACCAACAACCCAATACAAAAAAATAAAATAATAACACAGAAATTCACTTTTTCATACTTCGCTATCATGCGTATGGTGAGAACTTTGGTATTCTTCTAATTCTTTTAGCAAACTTTTTCTTTTACTTTCCACTTCACTCAACTGTTCATTTGCTCCATTCAACTTTTCTTGGGTTGTTTTCAATTGCCCAAATAGACTGTTTACTTTCTGTGCACTTTCTTCAATTGTTATTTGTGTTCGTTTAAATTCTTTGGACATACGATTTACAATTGAATCAGAGCGGTTTAACTGTAAAGAGGATGAATAAAACAAAATAAGTTTGGATAGCAGTGCTTATTTTCACATTATGTTTGTTTAAGTGAAAACTACGTACTACTACTGAGCTATTAAATGAATAAGAAATACTCATTAAGCAAGTTGGATGTCAGTAACCTGGTTAATAAAACCTTAATATTCTCGATCAGGACAGTAGTTATAGAAAATCAGTGATTAAATGGCACTAATAGGAAAATCATTCTAAGTAGATATCAACCAGAGAGATTTTAAAATCAAAGGTCCCTTGAAGCTACGTTGGCAATTTTCTAGAACACAATAACTATATTCCTTTTAAAACTCAAAAGATTAGACACTCATGATCGTTGTGACTGGGTTTGGTTTTTGTTATTGAATCAGTTTTTTAGTAAAGCAAAGATCTAAGTGTTCACTCCAGGATTCACTGACATTGATAACTAACCCTTATGAAAAAGTGTGGGTTCAACAAATAGGTAGTAGACTGATATCAAGGACGTTGCTTACGTCAGATCAGTGAAAACTTTTGCTAATGAAAGTAAACAAGTTATCTGAATCAGCAGTTATAACAAACCCAAATACCGTTTTTGATTTTACTTGTTACCTGTTATCGAAACATATGAATGTGGATACGAAAAAGTATGATAGCACTCTAGTTAGTCATAATCTAATAAGAATATTACTTAACCAACATACAAATAATCCAGTTCCTAATCAACTTTGTAATATCACTTCACGTATTGCTTTGATAGTGAACCAATAAGGTTGATATAAACCTTTATCTCTCTACTGTAAAGTCCTTTCTAACATACAGATATATAATGCCGTTTACCTCAGTAAGCTCAGAGAACCCTTTAACTAAGATTTTAATCACTGATGACGCTTCAATCATCGTTACAATCAAACTATTGATTAAAATATTCATGGAAAACACAATTAAGTGGTGAAAAATAGAATCTTTAAGGCAAAGTTAGTTCCACTGACGTTTCAGATTCACCTTGCAATGTGATAACAAAATTGGAACAAAGGAAGACGGTATTTGGTCAAATGTTCTTCCCTATCTGGTGTCCTAAAATACTCTACACATTGATAATGTGAACAGTAAGGAATTCGAATGATGAAATCAATAAAAATGATTGACAATGTTCAGTTATATTATTTCACGTGAACAGAAAGACTAACTTGTGCTTGTTTTTCCTCAAGTTGTTTTTGCGCTAACTGTAATTGCTCTGTCAGAATGTTTAATCTTTCTTCTAATTGAGATTTAATCAATTTTGTTTCGTCCAATTCCTTGCCTACTTCATGTAGACGGGTTTGTATAGTTATATTTGATGTTTTGTAGGATTCCATCTGCGTTTCCAATTCTTGATACTGTAAGTTAAAAAAGCTGTATGAATAGCTGGATTAAATAAATAATGTAGTATAATTGAGTGATGGTCATTATTCCTATTTCACATCCAGAGAACAAGAATAACTAAGATATCATTTTACTTGTTTGTTTTAGGCAATATAGATATGTGGATTTAAGGGATTACGTATGAATCCATTATTATACATCGTATCTATCACCCAAGTTTATTCCTACCGTAGACTATTCAGATTATAAATAATTCATCAGTTATCCCCCTAAATTTAGTGATCAATAACATAAAGTTGGAGGAGCAGTGAACACTGAGTTTGCTCGACATGGTTAGCAGGCCATTGAAAAAAATAATGAGCAGATTGTAGAAACTTTTGTGGCTCCAAATGCATTTCAATAGTGTGTAATGTCGTTGAGTCCGATTTCACGTCCCTAAACATGATCCACATGATTTAGCCAGCACTTGGTACCGGCTGCTCATGACATTAGTCAAACTCCAGATATAGATTAGTCTTGATGTTAGTCGACGATAGACTTTATACAGAAGGAACCTAGGGGATAATTTATTAAATATATACACTTCGTAAATAAGTTTACTGTCCATTATATGAAACTTCTAATTCTTAAAAATTACCATTCCCAAAAAGTGACGTTGAAATAAAAATAAAGTACATATCACGAATATTACTTGTCATGGATTAGAAGCAAAACTTAGTTGTGAACAGCGAATAGCAATGAGGTTTGAGTTGAGTAGAATTATGGAGATTCTAGTCCTGTGATATAAAAACACTGATAAGAAGTCAATTAGTTGAAGATGAAGGTGAAGAGTGAATTTTTGACAGAAATAAGTTACTTTGTTACATTTCGAGGTCTACTTAGGTTGTATTTCAGGTATAACTAAAAGTAACTAAATGTGAAAAAAATGAGTAAAATAATTACTTATCTTACATTACTGATAGCTGTTTTACTGGCCATTTCTGCTGCAGTTTTATGTACATTTGTTTGCTCTAGTTCGAGTTTTAATTTTTGCAGTGATTTCTCTAATTGTTCTTCGTTTTGAGATCGTTTAACAATTTCTTCTCTTGATTTTATCAACATTGTGCGACTAGATGATAATTCACTTTGTAATATTTCTAGAGATTTACGACTGTGTATTACTTGTTCCTGTCGGTAGGAAACACTGAATTGGTTTACAAGTAAACAGAAACAATCTCGTCGATGAATAGTATGAAATTATGTACGTGTAAATGATAGGTATTTAGTAAAATTTGAGATGTTGTTTGGATAGTAAAAATAATCAAAGCTGACGTTTGATTGAATATCTGTCATCGAAAGACCGTACTATACAGAGGCATTTGCATAAAATAAACATGAAATTCCACAGACAAGTGTTCTACATATATCACTAATTATTGCAAACAGAATGAGTTTCTTAAGGATTGTATCAGAAGTTAGGCTTGAAAATAGAAAATGACTTAATTTGGTAGGAAAGAACTAATGATCATTTTTCAAGTAGTAACCCAGTTCTGAACAAAATAACATAAGGACAGATACACTAAGGACTTACTCGAATAACATGATAGTAATCATCATTAATTACCATTAGTAATAATAGTAAATCTTTAGCTATTTATGAACTTCATAAGTTCATTTATTTGAGTAGTTTGAAATACTAGAACATATTTTGTAAATTAGTGGTTTTCTACAACTCTACACATCTCTCACGCGTATGTGGAATACTAGAAAAGCTTTTGGCTTAAATTTGAAAAATATTTTCATCTTATAAAAGCTAAAAGTTTTATTTAAACTCCAGTCAGATTTCAGAATACTTTTAGACGGTTTCACATACCCTAGCGTTTAAAGAACGGATTGAAATAATGTAGGTTTCCAAGTGTTAAATTAACATACTATGATCCCTAGTTGAATTTTTTCATCACGTTGAAAATGACAGCACTAGACTGAATAGTGTATTCATTGGCCTTTATAGACCATAGTTCTAATTAATGATTTAAGAAGTTCGTGTTCGATGTTGGTGATTCGGTTGTGTGATTTCCTAAAGGTATTAGTTGATAGATGGGTTTAAAATTATCAAGTCTAACATACACACTACTATAATAATTCTGTCTGTGAAATCCCATCTAACCACAGATTTTAATTCCGTAAAAGGGTAAGCAAAACATCAATAAAGAACTGAATCAAAGAAATCACCTTGGCTTGATTTAAATCCATTGACAAATTTTCAACTTCTCTTTGCTTCTGACTATCAATAATTTCTAATTGTTTTATTTTTTCTTCGAATGAATTTTGAATCATTTTCTGTTCTGATTTGAACAATCCAACTGAGTTGATTTGTGTTTCTAACTCCTGTAAAATAATAGTGATCAAGTTTTAAAAGCAGAAATACTAAAATAATTTCAACAATTGAGATCATAAGTTAGTTGAAGCTAGACCACCATCGAAAACCCTATTGTGGGACTCCTCAGCAGTGAGCATCCACGAACCCAGGACCTATCAGTCTCGCGCCAGGCGCTTAACCAACTAGACCACTGAGCCGGCATCCAACGGTGTTAATGTCTAACTTCAATTAATCCACGAAATTGAGCGACACATCCACCATTGTCATCAGTGAATTACTATCTCACAACGGACCCGGTTGATAATAAGCACAAAGGGTTGAAAATAGTTATTCTCATTTGACTGAAGTAAAAGATTATTTTAAATGAACGAATTGATCGAAATCACCCACTAATACAAATACTTATACCTTGTAATAAAGTGATTAATAATTTTAAGTATTTGTTTACCTTGCCAATTTACAAGATGAGAAAGAAAAACGTTTTACCAAAATAAACTTTAAATTGACATACCCGATGACAAGATTCAAGTTCATGAGTAAGTGAGTGAATTTGTCTTTCTTTCTCTTCCAGAATATTTGTTTTAATCTGTAAATTATTTCTACATTGAATAACCTCATCCTTTTCGTCAGAAAATATATGTCCAAAAAAAAAGAATCAAATGAAATAATCAAATTCACTAGTAAGTTGAGAATTACGGTTTTCTAGATTCATTGTCTTATTTTTTAACGCATTTCAGGCATATAATAAATTTAATATTAAAATAACCATTTTGTAATTAATAGAAACATCCATAGATTAAGGCAATCTATTTTAAAATATTATTCAGAAAGTGGATTGCAAAATAATTTAAAGGGGTAAATGAGATATTTATCGTTAGGGATCAGTGGTGACATAACATAAAATGGTAATCACACTAGTCACTGGTAGTTCTAAATTGTATTTAGATGTAGAATGAGTTAATTTTTTATTTCAGACAATGATTGATCATAAAAATAGTCATTTTCCAAGCACCCTTCCTCAAACAGAAAATCATTTTCAAAATGACTACGTGTGTTATTATAAATAATCTCTAATTACATAAATAGAAACAATGTCTCACATTAACTCAGCGCCCAAATACTGTGAAACTATTCGAACAAATTTAGACGAAAGTTCTTATTTAATGTATAACTGACGCTTAATCATTGGTTCATATCATAAGGTAAATAAAATTCAAGCAATCGTAATAGGGTGTAACAAGCTAGTATATTCAATTAATCTATCATGTAATGAAACCAATTCTCTAACAGGTGGCAAATCAAAAACATTTAAACCCCAGTTCTTTACCAGTTTTATATTAATTAATTACAAATCATAATTCACAACCACCCACACTTATCCTTGGCTGTATTACATTAGGGCTCAAATACATGTAAAGAGCTAGTTTGCTATGTACATGGCTCATACATTGTGTATTTCGGTGTATCTGTGCTCGTTTATTCACTTATCTAATAATTGCTTTAGACTATATAAAAATCAACTTAATAACATTCATTCAGTTATTTATCCATTTACTCATTAGATTACTCATCCACTCTTTCTCTTTATTATTAGCTAAAGAGTTTGATTTTCGTGCTTAAAATGTACATTAGTTCAATCAAATTCGTTTTTCATCTTCTACGTTTATATGCCTCAGAGAATTGTTGAAGTGACAGAATTTAATCGACAGGCTGTATGAATTTAATAGGAATAATTGTGCAAGTCTCCAACTCAGTAATTCGAACATAGATGACCTTAAAAAATAATACAGCTCATAAAGTATTATTAAATGTCTGGAAACAAATTCCTGGTTATTTTTCAAATAAAATGATCCTTCCTAAATTATTCTCTGGACAGCCATCTGTGTTATAGGACCCATATATTTATGTGCACTCATGAGGAGCTCATTGGAAATATATCTTTTTTCTCCTAACTTTTAAAAATGTCTAAACAAGATGTTTGTGAGAAAATCAGAGCTAGGTCAGTGAAAGTGATAGCATAAGGTTCATTACAGATAGCTAGAAAACATATTTGTTTTAATTTTCTAACTGTATATGATAAACAAACAAACTGATACATCATGGAGCCAACTAAATTCTCCTGAGAAAGATGTAATTTACAACGTGCAGAAGATCAACTTTACGTAAGTAAAAATAACTAAACACGTACCTTCAATTCATTGGTTTTAGTTTGTAATCGACTAATTTCTTTCTTATACTCAGAGTTTTCATTATTCAGTTGATTTAATTCTTTTTTTATTTGATTGATTTCTAATTGATGTGAATTGTATGCTGTTAGTTTTTCTTCTTGCAAAGCGCGAATTTCAGCTGCACTTGTTTGAGCATTTGACAAACTTTGCTTAGTCATTTCCTGAATCCCGGATTCCAACTGTGCGTTCACTGATTTAAGACGAGCTAACTCTGCTTCTAGTTGCATCGATCGACCTATTTGTAAATCTAGCTTTTCACGTACATTTGAAGTTTCTTTGAGCATTTTCATTATCTGTTTCACATAGAGGACAATAAATATGATTTTAAAAAGAAGTCAATTCACATCAAGACTGGTATAGACTAAATTTTATGAGCACTTTAGAAAAGCTTTGTCCTATTTTCACAAGCTAAGTTAACTGAAATAAATTTAAAGGAAACAATATTTCATAACATTATCGTATGCGACAGATGGACTATACATCCACATCTATCTAACTCTTCAGTTTATTAGTATGAACCATCATTTGCCTCCTGAGGACCTATCACCCAACTATGATAAACACTCAGTGTCGTTCTGGTTTATAAAACATTCATTCCTTTAGCCATTTTCTTGCAGTTCACCTAAGCACATTATCCCTAGCTATTCATTAATGGGTTTCTTCAAAATATTCTCTTCTCAGTTCAATTAGAATGATGCGACATTTTTCAAACATTTTTATCCCTAAATCTCTTTTTATTTTCTTTTTTTAAGTTACACTGCTCATACTTTATTAACAGTATTAGTTAGGAAGGTTTCTACACTATGTAAATGATGCTGATTACTGTCAGCTTGCTGCAACAAGCATCTGATTAGATAATTTTCACTTTCAATTTATATGCATCTATGCAGTCAGTTCTAACACGCCTCTATCCAGTTACTGTTCTTGTGGCACATATCACATTTTACATTGACAGACTCAACTATTCAGTAGCGGTTTATCGTCATATATTATGCAGTAGTGTATTGTTTTACAACTTAGTGAATAAATTGTACATGTTGCCCCTCGCGGAGGAGCATGGGCCGCCGACCAAGATTCTTCAACCAAATCTGTCCTGGGATCTCCCTTCCAGTTGTTTCCAACCAATATACATTCTTTTGATGACTGCCTCCGATTCCCAATGCAACATGTTATTTGTTCTTTCTCTTTTCTGTTTCCCTTCAGGATTCCAAGTTTGGGCTTAATTCGTGACACAGTTTGATGATTTCCGCAATGTATGTCTTACCTATAGCGACCATTCCGAAGTTCCTCTTCACCTGGAAGTTAGTTTGTTCCCTACTATAGTAAGTTGTTGCTGACGGTATCCGGTCAACGGACATTAAGTATCTTGTGCAGACAATTGTTTAGAAATACTTGAACCATTTTAATGACAGTTTTGCTAGTTCTCCAAGTTTCAGCTACGTACAGTAGAACTGTGTTGACATTCGTATTGAAGATTGTGACTTTGATATTGGTTGACAGTTGATTTGAGTTCCATATGTTATTCAAGTGTAAGAATGCTGTCTTTGCTTTACCGATTCTTGTATTTACATCTGCATCAGATCCTCCTTGTTCATCGGTGATGCTGTCCAGTTACGTGAAAGTTTCCACCTCTTCCAGAGTTTCCCCATCAAGTGAGATTGTGCTGGTGTTCTCAGTGTTGTATATGGGGATCTCGGTTTTTCCCTTGTTTGTGTGTATGTGTTGAGGCCTGCTAATACAGAGGCACCTACTACATTGGTTGTCTTGACCTGCATTTGTTGTTGTGTATGGGTTGGAAGGGCCAGGTCATCTGCAAAGTTCACATCGTCGAGTTGCATCCGATCTGTCGATTGTATTCCGTGTCTCCCCTGAGATATAGAGGTCTCTCTAATGGAGTCAACCGCCAAAAGAAAGGTAATGGTTGGGAGGAAGCAGCCTCATCTGACACCGGTTTTCACTTAGAATGCACCTGTAGTGTATTCCGTCGTATGAATTTCGGACGATGTTGACAATTTTCTCATGTTTACCATGTTTTAGAAGAAGGTTCCATATGGTCCTCCTGTCCACACTGTCAAACTCCCTCTCATAGCCAAGGAAGCTGACGTGTGGTGAGTGATGAGTTCCATTCAATTGATTGTTCAACATTGATCCTCTGTGTCGCGATTTGGTATGTGCACGACGGATCCTTACAGAATCTGGCCTGTTGATCTTTACGAATAGAAGGTGTAGAATGTTTACAGTTACATGTATGTCTGACTTCAGTGTTTCATCTGGTATGTTATCTGGCTTTAATGTCTTCCCACTCTTGAATTGTCTGATTGTGTGTGGGTCGACATCTATTTGGAGGAGTGTGTATGCTACTTGGATGTGTAGAGGGTTAAGTAGGTCTGGTCTATTCAAGAGTTCTTGAAAGTGAATCCTCTGAATTTCTCATTAAATCAAAGATGATTGACTTGATTATTTATATTGTGGTCGGGTGATAATGCTGATTTGCGTATACATTTGTGATGGGAAACGATGCACTTTTCATCCATGTTATCGGAAACACAGATTTACAAAACCCTCTCACTATTCTCGTCCCGTTTTCACAGTCTATGTCCCCCCATGATATCTTGATCCCTTGTGTTGTCCATTCAGACTTTGGCGCTTAAAGGTCCCAAGAGGATAGTTATATTCTTTCCTGGGTTATTTTCTACAGTTGACTGAGACCTTCCATTAAACCGATCTTGATTGCTTTCACTGCTATCATCGGTTGACACATAGCCCTGGATAATATTCATTGTAATTCCCTCCTTCTTTGTTTCGAAGATTGCTTTGGTGATTCTAAATCCATGAGGTTCCCATCCCACAAGTACTTTTCATGTTTCTTTGGACAGCATCAATGCAAGTCCTTGTGTGTGAAAAGCATTTTCTTCTTCATGACCGCAGTACAACAGCACGTCTCCCAAAGCTAACCTTTTTGGTCCATCCTGTGTCCAATAGGTTTCACTTATTCTAAGCGGAGCCAGGTTGTACCTCTCTACTTCCTCCGCTATTTGAATAGCCTTTCTGATAAATCATATTGTCCAGATATTCCATGTACCTATATTTACTGTTTCTCAGGTTGTTAGAAGGGACTTCGGCCTCATGACTTCTGAAAAATCTTGGTTTTCATCATGAGACGTCATAACTCTTCTGAATGAAGATCTTTGAACTCCCAGGGTAGAGTTTAAATTGTTTAAGTGATTTTTTCTGGTAAGGGTTTCTTAGCAAGGTTATTTTTTATGGGATGAGGTAGCTAACCTTATGCTCAACCCTCTTCATTTATCCATGCTTCGGACCAATAGTAAATCTAGAAGGGCTGATGTGGGAGTTTGTTTTCCGACTGATCTATTTAAATCATTTCGTACAAGCCTTAGATTCTCTTACATTGCATTATTTCGGTTAATTTACTTGACTATATATCTCAAACATATTTCTCAGAGGAACTTAGACTGTAGTGGACAAAATATACATAATCTGAAATACTACCTTGTCTAATTAAGCTTTAATAAAGAAAACGTCTGACTTAAATGATCTTAATCAACAGATACATTTGGTCAAATCCACACAACAAATATAGTGGTGGTTCTATATATTTCGTATTTTCAATAGGTATGTTATATATTTGAGCTTATTGAACAGTACTAAAAACTCCAAGTCAAGAAAAAATATTGCTTCAGTAGTTTCAAATTTCATAGTAGTCCTTCAGTTATCATCGTTAATTTGAATTAATCTCTAAACTGACTGGTTTCCAAGCCACCTAACCCACTTATCCATATTAAATATGATTGAATGGCCTTGTTAATATTACCGGGAAGACGCTACATCTTATTTAACTTAAAGTTATTCCAAACTACAATCATTCTTAAATATAAGAAACAAGTACTTGTCTTTTCCGTTCTTCACTGATGTTTTCGATATTCTCACGTTCTGATTTCAATTTTGCCAATAATTCATCACGTTCCTTAACCTACAGTTTTTTCAAATGAAAATTCGAAAATATTAATGACTTTATAATATTTTTGTGGCAAGAATTATTTAACTTAGGCAGGGGTAATACTTAATTTTATGATAAACGCTTGTTTTAGAATCAAACTGAATATTATAATATATAGCTATTATTCTTATGACATCTGTACATAAAAAAACTAACACAGTTGTTAAAGCAAGAAGGGGTTAGAATGATACAAATTTCTATTTCGAACAAATCTTCTTTGTTCTAGAACATCTACAAAATATGGTGGAAAAATGAAGTTACACGAGGTAGTAAAGTGTTGACTTATCGAAATGTTACCTAATCAAAAGTACGATGTACAAAAAGGGAAATAAAGACAAAAGTAAGAAAGAAAACTGTTGTGACATGTTGTTTACGAAATTCGATACTGAAGCACAATCTTCTTATACACGAGCCCAACCGGTTACTCAAGTTAAAAGACAGAGTGAAAAGGAAAGTTTATTGGCCAAGCCGATAATTTAGTCACCAATATCTTATTCCTTGGGAACGAAATCAACTTTCTGGCAAATCACGTACAATCATCATTTGGCTGATTTCCGATTGCCCAGTATTTAAGGAACAAGGACCAAAATTAAGTAAATTGAAAAGTAAAAAATTAATTCGCGGTAGTATGTTTAAATTACAACCTAAAAATCAAAAGACACTAAACGCCGTTATGTTTCTGTCATGAATACAATTTATGTATCCTTTTACATGTAATTTATTGGCTAGAGTTACTGTTTACTAATATTTTAGCTATATATAGATGAATTTATCACTGAAATTTGTGGTAACCGATCTAACTCTGAACAGATATATATGCTCCCTTATAAATAGCAGTACCTAAAGTGATAAAGCCATTTCAACTATTTTAGAGGCTTCTCAGAGGTTATTCAGCTTTCTTTTCGCCGACGCACCGTCCTCACTTTAGTTTTGTATCATTTTGGATCCGTATAATATAAACGATCGCCTGACGTGGTCACCAGTACTTAAAGTTCGTTCCTCAATGTACTATAAAGATTGGAAGTATAAAAGCAAACACTTTGATCAAGCGACACAACAAAGTTATATAAAAAATTCCGATAAGTAAATACAAGTACAGAAAGCAGCTAGTGTCCACTATATACATTTCTAGTTAAATTTCACGACAGTAATTTATTAGTTATAATAAAAGCTAGAACTGCTGCAAATAGTTAAATCGTGAAAACATGCGTGTCACATTTTACATCTCGTAAATATAAAATTTTATTTTACTCCATTGAAATCTTGAACCGTTGTCAATATGTGGGGAATCCCTCTATGGATTGGTCATTAACTTTTCTATTTTTGACCTACCCTCAAGAGTGTTGTAAACATATTTAAATACAATAACGGTTTGTTTAGTCAAATTTTCTTCTGATTTTTGAAACACATTTTTTTTAACAACGTCTGTTTTCGTACCTTTTTGTTGACTCCGTAGTGATACAAAGATACGAATGCTAGCGAAATGTATTACCTATCTACTTCGTATACATTCTGCTGAGTGGCTACATTAATACAACAGAGATATAATCAAATTCGAATACGTATTGTATCTAGTATACGTATATATCAGATATATTAATATTGAATGGCAGACAAGCAACTAAAAGATGCAGCGATTGTATAAAGTATTGAAGTTCGATAATACAATAATAAGGCAACCCAATTTTAGAAATCATCTAAAATTATAGGCCAGACAGAAACGTTCTGTTATCCAAGCGTGCATAAAAAGTCCTTAAGGTTACATCTGAGTAATTTACGAAGGTAAATATTGTGATGATAGAACAAGTGGAAAAATTAGAATAATCTGTCTAATTAAAAGTTAAAATAAGTCCCTTAGGCGTGTAAAATTACACGAGTTGCTATCCTGTTTTCGGATTAGTTAAGGTTACACAGGAAAACAGTATTTATCTGTTGTGTTCTATGTATGGTCAAGACGTGTCACTGAGAGAAAACTATCAGTCATAAGTGACGTCCAGATAAAGTAATTTCCGAAAAAAGTAACCTACAAGTGCCAAGTAGCTATCCATTACTTTCTGGTTTTAAATGAATGTTTAATTTAGGTAAGTTCGTTATATCAATATTGTTCACAAACCTTAATGTTGATGACTATATATTCATCAATTTTAGTTTATAAACATCATACAAACTAATCGACAGCAAAAGTATTTGACGACCTTTTGAATAGGAACTGTAAGATGAGAATTTACGAAAACTAAAATGTCAAACTTACCATTGTTGTCAAGTTATTTGCATTATTCTCACACTTTTTGTGTAGATCATGACAACGTTCTTCTAGTTCTTTAGTTTGGTTTTGAAATGAATCGCGCTAAATGAAAAAATGATAATTTCAACTGCTGACATTTATAGTTGGTTTTATGTATTGCTGATTTTTGTGAGATTCAATGTATATTTAGTAACAATTCTCTTCTGTCGTCTTAATTTACCGATCCCGTCACAATGTAAGGTAAATACAGACTTATGCTCTTAAATCAATCACTGCTTGATAACCGGTGCTATACGAATTACTAAGTGCTTACTGTAAAGTAATTGATTTGACTTCGAATTATTTGTCGTTAAAGTTTCTAATTGAGTCGATAAGTTAACCTGATGTTTGACAGGGGTGTATAAGCTTTTTGATGGTTGCCGATACACTTAATAATGAATTTTAACAGGTCTGAAATCTGTCAAAATATTCATACGGTTAAATCAAAAGTATTTGGAATTAAGTCTGAAACAAAGATAGTACATAGTAGCTAAGTGGATAACGTGATAGCGTTTAAAGCGAACGGCACTGGTTTAAAGTCCCGGAGTAAACATTAACTCTAGGATGCAGGCATACCCAACTGACGAGTCCCAAATGGAACGAAATGCGCGTCCTGGATCCCACTGCTAACCACTATCCATCTTTTCTTATAGACTTATAGTGTTGTTGTAACAGTGTACTCAGTGAAAAAGATGGAAATCGAATAAAGCGGATATCATATTAAATATGAATTTTCGTACAAATTTCAAGTCTTTCTGCACGTCGTAGGCTTAAAACTCTAGAGTTTGTATCATTTAATCGTTCTCTGTTGCAAAGTGGTAAATTAGGTTTAATGAGATGACAGTAGACAAATGATCTGAAAGTGATTGCAGTCAAACAATGTTTCAGTAGCAAAACATCTTGCTGACTTCGAAAATGTTAGCTAAACTATAGAAGTAATTGAATATGCTTATTAAATGTTAGTCTTTTATCTAAAAGTCATTTTTCATTTGGGTGAGCCATAAAACTTTCACTAGTTATTAGTATATTAGCTAAACTCATCTTTAAATTAAAGAAACCGACGTAATATTTATCTTCTTTAGAATGAGGTTTGTGGAAATTGTAGTGATTTTAATAGTTGAATTCATAAGTCGATGAAAGCTAGACCAACGTTGAAAACGCGGGATCATTGGAACTCAGCGATGCGCATCCACTACTCCGCACGCAGGACTCGAACCCAGGACTTCCAGTCCCGTGCACAAACACTTAATCTTAAATATTAAAATTTATCTTCTTTGATTGCTTTTATGATGAAATCCAAAATTCTTCTTGATGCATGAACTTTCAAGACTGGTCATCTATTAATTCTTTGCTACTTTGTTTAGTATTTTTTTCATGATCGTTTTCATTGATGATAAAAGTCAGTTCTAAGATGTGAAATTATAGTCATTCACTCAATTTTCTACTTAAAAGACATAATACATACGTCGGAAAATTATATGGAGTTCTCCGGGATGTTATGCTTAATTATAAGTGTTCTATAGCCAAACATACAGATTTCATTAACATCAATTTCATGATCACCCTCAAGCTTCTCTACTGTCATGACGTATCATCATTTTATCACGAGATGGAAACAAAATGTTGAGTTGGTAAATTAGATATAACTCTAAATAGACAAATCAACTTTAAATCATTTACTGAATCTTCAATGCTCACCTGTGAAATTACTTCCTCATGTTTATTTTTCAATTTATTCACTTCCAAGCTTAATTTATGCAGCAAATTTTCTCGTTCTCCAACCTGTGCAGAAAAGAAAATCAAGTCAACAGAAAAATTAGATAACTCATAAGGTTTTTGTCTTTTTAATGAAGTTTGTCTACTATGGGTAAAGTTAGACAAAGGAAATGTTATTTCCAGAAGAATATTTATGTAGAAATTATATAAAGCCTTTACAAACACTTCTTGAGGTTTCCAATTCTGATAACAGTTCTTCATAAGTTCTGCTTCAACCAATTATGCTCGAGAAATGACTCTGAGAAATCGATGTATTTTTTTCGTATTCCTATTAGTAATAACAGCCACAAAGCTCTTAGATGATTGAGTCAAATTCCTCACAATTTTCTATCCTAGAGTTCCAGCTAAAGGTCAAATATTTATTAAGTCATTACATAAATTAAACTATTTTCTATGTTGTTTTCAAAAGAGGATTTCTATTCTTTCTCATAAAGTGGAGCGATTAGCAATCGAAATCAGTCAGATGATAATTATTGTAGCCCTTAAACGATAACTCATTTCCCGGCCAACCTAATTGTTAAAGTGGACCTCCTTCTGTATTCTCTCTTCTAGACTTAGCTTTGGCCTTATCAACTCCCTTTATTGAGAGGGAGAGGTTGATTTCTCATTCAGTTTTTCCAGGATTGGTGAGCAGCTGAATGATTGGTTGAAGCCAGTGTTAACCATCATCCAAATTTTCCTTTTTCGCTATCCATCATAGTTCACGGACATTAGGTAGCCTTTCTTACAGTCTGTAGGGTTACGTTGACTTTGTTTCTTATCATATCTGAGTCTACCAAGGACTAGTTTCCAGAAAACTACTACCTAATCAGAAACTCTTGATATCATTACTACAATGGGTCACTTCAGAATTAGCATCACAAAGGTCGTAGCTAGTTCTTCCCCAAATATATGCCTGATATTATCATTTTCAAAATGAGCTCCTGTGGGTGTTACTGGTGTAATATATGTGTTCAGAAAGGTGAAGGCGGATAGTTGGATTATGGTTTAATCGAAGTCCGGATATGCTCTCTCGACAGAGCTGCGGTTTTCTTTTATATTACCCCAGAGATTGGTAATATTGATAGAAGTTGGCTGAATACAGTGTTGAATGGATATTGGAGTTCTCCAGATTAAACAATATCTCTCATTATACTTATGGTTGATGCTCAATAGGAATGAACGACTTTTAAAGAAAGATTCAGTAGACGGTTACCATTATCTATTCGCCTGTCTGGGAAGCTGAAACACTCGTCCAAATGTCCTTACAAATGACTTGACTTAATTAGTTGGAAGACAAAACCACCTATGACTGCTGAGTCGGATCTCCTAAGATTTTCAAGTACCATAAAAGCTTCCCCTTAAAACGTTTCTTGGTATAGATCAGTGAGTGAAATCTAAAACAAAAAAAATTAAATAGACTGCTTCAATTTTCTAAGTTGCCTGTAGGATGTTAAATCTCAAAAGACATTAGACAATGGTATTTGCTCATATGACTCTAAACAAGGTTTTCCTGGTATTCTTTACATGACCATAAATATTTCAAAACCAACTTTACATCTCTCCGTTGTTTGTATGATATTATTATGGCTATGACTTTTGACTAAAAATCACATGATAAAACTAACAAACAGAATCCCGATTCATATAATTTGGTATCACCGGCTCGATTAATTGCCCATCCAACCAACACTAGTAATCTTGGTTTAGCTTCTGAGTCCTTATTGCTCCAAGACTCTGTTTCTTCTCTCTTTACCCTATCTTTTTTCTAGAAATCGGGAATCAGCCTCCACTATATTGAATATCCATTCTAAAGGGCACGGTTAATAAGGGTCCACATTAATAAGGACGTACATTATTAGGGGTGACCATCAAAGAGATGCATAACGATAAAAGTGAGCGTTGAAAATGGAATAAAATTTTTAATGATGTGAAATATGTTCGGTTTCCCCTATGTTGAGATGACCTACCTAAAACAAACAATCTCGTGGACGGGTGGGATAGAATCTTTAGCCAACTTGTCAATATCGCTCATCCAAGTATATAGAAATTTATTAATGTTCTCAAAAAGGGAGTCTGAATGACTTGAAAATCGAATAAGTTGTTGCAGAAGTCCAGTAACAGCACTTAAAGCGAAAGTATGAGGAGGTAGCATTGTATATCAAACTGGTAGTAGAGGATTATCAAAACAGATCGACACTAGACTATCTACGTGGAAAAGCACATTGTTTGAATATGCCCATTTAAACATGTCAAACTACGTTATGAAAAATTTATAATGTACCTTCAACATCTACATTAAATTGGTGTTACCCTCCCTTGATGTATTATATTCAGTCAGTTAATATATTGCCGGGATTGACAATAAATATATCTTTTTGTTATATCCCAATAAGTAGAAAAATTATATTTCTGACATTTCATGAAGTGGCGTACATTAAGTCATGAAACGTCAGAAATACAATTTTTCTACTAACTGTGATATAACGTAAAAATATATTTATTATCAACTCTCTACCGAATGCTAAATTTATTTGGAATTATTTTATTGTAGCAATAGATAGCCCTTTCAAGCTGGGGAGTTATCAATGTGTCAGGGAGTCGGAGTCTGAATTTTAAATGTCTTTGTCGCTTTCTTACTTACATACGCCTATTAATCCTCTTAGTCTGTCAAAAAGTATAAAGTAGTACACATCATCAGGGATCGAAATAAGGTTGCGTAACGACTGATAAGTAAAAGAAAATAATAAGACAAAATCAAATGTGTGAAAAATAATTACCCGCCTAAAGAGTATGAGAAAGATGAAGAATAAACTAGAAACATGAAGGTAATAATAACGTACAACTAAAGCGTAAAAAACATTTAGATAAAGTATCAATAACCGACTGACCGTGTGAAAAATTAGGTTTTAGTCACAAAATTATAACATCTTGACCAGACGCTTTTGCACATATAGCTTAGGTTTTAAATGGTAAGTTGCTACCGCCTCTGCAGAGAAATCATCTATAAGATATTGTTGCAATGTAGCTGGATCTGTAACTTAAGTACACCCTTTAAACGTTTTTACCTGTCGAACGTAAATCTGAGTATTGTATTAACTGAAATAATGGATAGTCTGAAATGTATACAAGTTTCATAATCCTAATCACCCGTTCATCTAATCAACACTATATAAAACCTAGTCATTTGACTCTTATTTTCACGGATGTTAACAAATGACAGAATAAAAGTTCATTAATTTTCTCTAGAGATCACAAACGACGGCATTTTCGGGAATACATGTTATGGAAAATGCCGAGTACGACTTTTTAATTAAAAAAGAAAGGAATGCTTTTAGCAATTAAAACTCATTTGAAGTAAAATTCAACAAACACTCTTTAAGGATTTTCGAAACATCCCTCTGAATAGGTTATGTCCAAGCTGTTCGAAATAGACATACGAGATAACGTGACTAGGGTAATAAGAATAATAATTTATTACCGAATTCGAAGAATTACAGTATTTGTTGAAAGCATACAATTCATTAGACGTTTAGAAAACTACTTTTTGCTTGGTCATAGGGCAGAAAGACAGAGGGGGAACCGAACATATTTCATATAGTCAAAAATGTTATTCCCCTTTCAGCGCTCACCTTTATCAATATACTTCCCTACTAATGCGGGACATTTTAACCGCGCCTTTTTCCACTTGCCCTTTTGCTCGTGTGATCCCTATATTGTATTTCAAGTAGACGTAGTTTGCATACAGATATGCCAGGCAACATTGCACCATCAAATGAAAAGTAATAATTATACATGATCAAGCCCAAAAGCTGTTGTAAGTAGTGGAAACCGTGAATAATAAACGGGAAATGTATTAGGAATAGTAAATAATGCAACGGTAATAAGTGCATTAATCGAAAGGTAAAAGAAATATTTGCATAATGATATTAACGACAAAACTATAATTGTTACTAATTCACGGATGTTAACAAATGACAGAATAAAAGTTCATTAATTTTCTCTAGAGATCACAAACGACGGCATTTTCGGGAATACATGTTATGGAAAATGCCGAGTACGACTTTTTAATTAAAAAAGAAAGGAATGCTTTTAGCAATTAAAACTCATTTGAAGTAAAATTCAACAAACACTCTTTAAGGATTTTCGAAACATCCCTCTGAATAGGTTATGTCCAAGCTGTTCGAAATAGACATACGAGATAACGTGACTAGGGTAATAAGAATAATAATTTATTACCGAATTCGAAGAATTACAGTATTTGTTGAAAGCATACAATTCATTAGACGTTTAGAAAACTACTTTTTGCTTGGTCATAGGGCAGAAAGACAGAGGGGGAACCGAACATATTTCATATAGTCAAAAATGTTATTCCCCTTTCAGCGCTCACCTTTATCAATATACTTCCCTACTAATGCGGGACATTTTAACCGCGCCTTTTTCCACTTGCCCTTTTGCTCGTGTGATCCCTATATTGTATTTCAAGTAGACGTAGTTTGCATACAGATATGCCAGGCAACATTGCACCATCAAATGAAAAGTAATAATTATACATGATCAAGCCCAAAAGCTGTTGTAAGTAGTGGAAACCGTGAATAATAAACGGGAAATGTATTAGGAATAGTAAATAATGCAACGGTAATAAGTGCATTAATCGAAAGGTAAAAGAAATATTTGCATAATGATATTAACGACAAAACTATAATTGTTACTAATTCGAAAAAAACGAGTTTTAATCTTTAAAATATCCGTTCCTTTATAACGGAACCCCAGTAGTCGTGTTAACAAAGTGACATTTGTGCAGTAAAAATGTACGGTAGTAACCGTAATCGCAAAGGTACTTGTATTCTCCTCAGTTGTTAGTGTTACTTGTGATTCAGAGTAGTATAAATTTTTTGACTTATTAAAAGAGAACTTCAAGCCGAGTGATAAACAACCCTTTCGGAATACTCGCTCTTCAGATCTCTATCCCATATTCCAAAGATCTCCTAAAGTTAGATAACGTAACTACTGACTCAGTTTTTTGCCTTCTTCCCTCTACCTCATTTTCTTTTCCATGCTACAGCCTCATCAATTTCCACTATATTTTCAGCAGCTCCAAAGAACAACAGCACTAGTAGTAATCTCTCAGAGCGAACCTCTCGACAATATGCATACCATTGTATAGCATACGTTTCAAGTAGTCAACACTGCTATCGTTGTGACTTGTGTGTCTATTATCCAGTGGATATTAGTAACGTTGTTTAGGGGTTGTCTTTTAGATAACACCACATTTATTAAATAACTTCAGATGTTTACATCTGTGAGATTATTTAGAATATGATTGACAGGCACCATTCTGTTGTGATGTATGACCCATGACCTTGAAGCCGCTTGATCATTTTTATCCTTGTTCTGCTATTGAACACAATATTATATTTACACCAGCGAATTCATGAGAAATTGTGGTTAAGTATCCGAAAACAAAAGAACTCAGTCACCCCGATTCGCCAAATGGACTCTGGGTAGTCCTGTGTGAGGGCATCGAAGACACAAAATCTTGCATAGTGAAGCGTGTGATCACATACTGAAAGGAACAATTTATAGCTTGAAGCGCTGTTTCAAGAGACAGAAATTAACATTTCATGGGCATAAATCTTTAACGGTGGTTGCGTATGCTCAAAAAGAAAAGAACGAGAACATATATGTTGAGATCTTAAGTAAGAAATATGTTAGGAAGTAAAAAATGAATTCAACTATGAAGATTATGAACTCAGGTTTTATCGGAGATTTATGGTTAGTAGTCACCTGTTGATTGTCTACGCTGTGCATGTTTCCTCTTGAGGAGTATAAAACGGAAACTGGATTAAGAGTGATTTTTCAGCATGGGGATGCAACCACTGACACTAAGTGACGGGTTCTTGAAGCCATATATGAAAGACATTTTTGATAGCAATATTGTGTGTATTGACTTCTTGCTTACTAAACCCAACCACCTAGGCTGGAAATTAGTGGGTCAATGTAAGGTGTTCAATTTTTATAGCTGAACTTTTCTAATCCCTCCTTTCTCTGTAGGAAAGCAGTATTGCTCGTGGTGAGTTTTGTATAGTTAGTTTTTTCAAGCAAATGAAGTACTAATGCATAGTATTGATGCTGATTTCAGTCTGATTTTGATAACAAGGTTAAAATATTTTTGTTTGAATCACTTTTCTAAAAATTAGCATCATAAGTTAAGAAGACTTCAGGTAAAATACTTGATTGATAATCAGGCTTACTTCGTAGTTCGAACAACTCCTTGTCAAGTTTTAAATTTCCTTTAGGAAAATTGTTTTAAATAAAAATTATGAGCATAAATGCCTAAATAGATGAACTCTGGAGATCATACTTTCATCTCAACAAATGATTTGGAATCTTTTTCATCTATATATTTTGAAAGATTAAGTTCTTCCACTGAATCGACATTTTTGCTAAGCTACTTATTATTTTAATAGTAATTTGATGCAATCTATTTGATGGTCTACTGGTAAAATAAGACGAAAAAAATATCTTCAAATAGACTTCGACTATGGAGCTCTATAAATCAGTTCCTTCATAAACAAATTAACATGGTAGGAAAATATTAAATGAAGTACCATAAAACAGATGTCTCACCTGTTGGAACAAGTTTGTAACGCTTTCTTGTAATTGTCTCGTTGTGTTGTAACTTTCTTCCAATAACTGTTCTTTAGTTTTCTCTCTCTCTTGACAGTATTGCAGTTGATGTTTCATATCTAACAATTGATTCTGTAAATACTCAATATTCTCTTGACAAATATGATGTTGTAAATCATGGGTGTTATGACAGAGCTATACAAATTTACATATACATAATTAAGCATAAAGTTAAGTTGAGAACTAAAACTGAACTGATAAAAAGAAGAAAAAAGGCCAAGGAATATTTAAAATAAACGGAGATTGAGATAGAGCGAAATTTGTTTGAAAACACTATTGAATTAAGCTCAGGATCAACAATAATGCTCGAAAGAAACTATATACTTCAAAGAAACTTTAAGTAAATTGTATTCCTATAGAATTAATATTTCATCATGTATATACGAGCTTGATATTTTTCTGTAAATTCCTTGGTTGTGCATTAGTCGAGATTTGTTGAGCATTATGATCTCCTTAGTTTACTCTAGCATAATTATATGAGTCATGAATCACTATTATCATTAGCATCATGTAAAAGGATTGTAACTTTCAGTCTATCGTTTAGTTAATTAGAGAAGTAGAAGTGGAACTTCGTGATCAGGTTTTGTTTAGTCAAGGCAGGGAAAAGTATATACTCATCATACAGATTATTATTGAGTTATAAGTCTTAATTATTTATCTAAGAAATCATACCAACAAATATATTTTCCCTTAACATTTTTATGGAAAACCACTGCTTGTGTGTGGATTTGCTTTAGTGAAACTTGCTGACCCCTTCTCAACCTAAATGTGTCGGTGAACGAAAAGTGAAGCTACATTTCCGTCGCAAATATATGCGGTGGCAAAAACACTTTCTTAAATATTAGACAGCCATCAACCTGACATATTAAAAGCTATTTACGTATCTTCTCAAATGCAGAATAAAGTATTTCTACAATAAAGAGAATAGTTCAATCTTATTTTCATTCATTATTAAAATTTTGGGCAAGAACTTTCTTTGAGTGTTTCGTTCAACCTAACGTTTCTGATAAAAACCACTGAGGTGTTGAACTGATAAGCTCCATATATCGTACGAATCAACATATTCCTTACACATGGTTGATTTGTCAAAGCAGAGGATCATGATCTAAACAATCAGGACTGTATAGTATCTGTTAAAAATCTACGAACAAGCACTAGCTAGTTGTAAGGAATCATTTTATCATAAAATGTTTCTCTTCATGAAGTACATCTTTCTGTGTTACGCAATAACCATACTCATATTATTTGTTCAGTTGTTTTGTTTGCTTTCTAAATCCAAGTATTAACTAGAAGTGAGTGAGTAAATAAAATATTTTTGGGTGATTATCAAATACAAATATATTATCTTCGACTACCTGTATCATCATGAATCGATGAAAACCAGTAAGTATTAAATGGTTGTTTTATCTTAGTTTATTACAAGCTACTCGAAACATTTAATATTAGCTCAAAAGTCACCTCTACGTATTGAAGTGTGTACGAATGCATTTTACTAATGAACAGAACTTTCAGTGTTTTATGGTATAAGATTTTAGCTATTCACTGACTCACTTTGCTGTGGTGTGAAATGATTTAGCAATTTACTTTTAGAGGGTAAATTAAATTCACTATGAAATCACAAGACTAAGTACAATCATCATCAAATTTCACACAAAATCGTCAGAGAATGAATTTCCTACCTTGTTGAGAACCTGTTCAATTAATATCTCACTACTTAATCAAACAATCCCGAGTGCTTAACAGGGTTTCGAACTAATGTGCTACTTATAATCCAAAATGGATTTCAAACCAGAAACAGTTTAGCCATTTATGAAACCACATTTTTAAATGTGCCAGCTAAGTCAGTAGCAATAGTTTTATTCTCTACAACTATGAGCATTTCATTTTTGGTATGTAGGATGTGACATTTAAACAGAAACCCATGGTTACGTTTTATTCATAACTTGTCTTTGAACAATGTTTTTCTCATACTCAGCCCTTTTCTAAATGTTTCTTTTTGATGCAAAAACAAAATTTATATATTTTAACATGTAATAAACGATCATCCAATTTACATCACCACAAACTTACTTCACATGAAGGGGGGAAATCATCTACTGTGCAGGTTTTTTGTTGTTGCTGTTGACGTCGTTCTTGGTGTCGCTCTGGTCGAATACGTTGAATTGGTACTGAAGGAATATGTGGTGTTGGAGTTGGCGGTGAGTGGTGTTCACATTGAACGGATTCATGAAATTCTGGTGATAGATTTGTATTGATTGGTCCAGGACGTTGTCCAGCACTGCAACACTTGAAGTAAAATTAATTGAGATAAACAGTATCGATAACTTTTATGCACAAACAATTTAATTTATTTCATGATTTTCGCACGTTAGCATGGGGCTTAAGAATTTTATTGTAATGAAAATTTGTTGCACGTAAAGATATTAGTAAATTAATGTGGTTTATTTGATGAAAATTACATTTTTGTGCTCATAAACCAACTCATATTTAATAGGGTAATGCAGCTGAATAATTAAGCAATACACATCACTTTTCACAGATTATTATAATCGTTATATGAATCATTCGTCTGGGTTTCTTGATAGGATTCTGTATATTTATAAAGCACACACTTTTACTTGTTAAGGTAAATTGTAGACGAGAAACATATTGTGGTTAAACCCGAAAGGAATATCGTCTGATTACCAAACGTATTTAGGATATTTTCAACGTACATTGAATAAAATTTCTCCCAAGTGTTTAAAACATACATTTTAAAACTACTTGCATGTTTACTTATTCTGAAGGACTTTAAAATCCCTGATGTTTTAATTATTAATTACTTGTCTGAATAGTTTCCCGTCAATGCTTATTTTCTTGTATAATTACCATCTGATTTGAGCATTCAGTTTACAAAAATGAATTATTTAGAACCAGCCAGAAATTCCTTTTACCAAACAAACAGTAAATAACATTTTCTTTTAAGTACTATGGTACTAAAACTCAAGTAATAAACCACTGAATATGATATGGGCCTATTGTGGGAGATTTTTTTGTCATAGACTGACATCAGCTGGAGAATCATTGAAATTATGATACATTGAACAGCTATTTCTTTCCAGTGTACACCGCTTTAGTTGTGCACATCTATGATTTTACACAGTACTGAACTCAATTCCTCTAAATCTCATCATGAACAAGAAACATTTATACCGTTGATTCAGTTAAACTGTCTACCCTTTCCAATTTAGTCAATGGACTATATATCTCGACGATGCATTTTTATCACAGAATCCATTGAACAAATTGCAACGAGTAATGGTTTCCTACAATTGTAACCTACAGAATAAGTAAATGCTTGAACGAAAATTCAAACTTAATATTTGTAAAGCAGAAAGGAATACTGTCACAATTTATAGACTGATATGTCATGTGAATATTTAGTTACTTTCGTTATAGGATTCTTCATAGAAAAAAAAGCAAACTATTTTCTAAAAAAATTTGTGGGTTTTCTTTACTGATTTGCGACAGATTTATTCACAAGAAAACTGAATTTTAGACAAATGAGCCAATATAATCCATCATCTTTTATGAATGATGCACGGTCTAGGGGGAACGAATTTTTGATAGAATATTTATTTAATAATCGATCGCCATTCTTTCATGAAGTCATAAACTTCTTTTTTTAATATTATACACCATTAAATGAAGAATTTGTAAGTACTTAAACTATCATTACTACGTTTATCAGTCAAAAATCTTATCACATAACCATGTTGTTTAATTATTAAGCATATTACAGTTTTAGTTCGGTACTATTGTGTATAAAGTTTCCATTAAACGCAGTAAATTTTCTCAGATTTCAGTCACCACGATAAGTGTAACCTCACTGATTAAATAGTTTACATGAGAAAATTAGTACGTTAATAATCGAATCAGTAGAATTAAAAGGGATCAAAAAGTTTGGAAATCTGACGCTATAGCATACCTGTTGAATGATTTAACTGCTAAAACATATTACGAATAATTTCACTGAAGTATAACCTATTCTTCTTTACCCTATATCCTTTGATTCATTACTAGACGATTTCATATAACTAGTTAGGTGTTCTATCAAGAAATAAGTTTCTTGAATCATATTAAATACTGTTTCAATGATAAATGTTTGTATATCAGCTTGGTTAACTTGAAGTCATTGATGAAAATTTTACTACCCACTTACTCGACAATTCAGTTAACTTGCATCTGGGGTAAAATTAGAAAAATTACAAAAGCACTCCCCAATTTATATGAAAAAGCTGTTAGAAATAATTTCACTCCACCATTTCATTACTTCACTCACAGTGACGATCACATTTATTCAATCATTACTTTGCATCCACACGTTACAACTGAGTATTGGACGTTGCGATTTGCTTTTTAAGAAAAAAATATCAAGTCAGTCCAACCTCAAAATGAAAACAATAAGTTCTCATTAAATGCTGTTCTTTTCAGAAATATGAGTTCACCAAGCTCAATTACAATAGATATTATTTGTTTAAAAAATTTGGTCTGAAAATCAAACTTAGTTTATCCTGTACGAAACTATAGACTTGAAATAATTCAAACAGATCGATAAATCATATGATGCTTATATAATTGATAAAAAGTTTTATTACTTGTAATCTAATAAGGCCGTATATCAAATCAATCATTCTTTGCAAATACGTGAAACACGTATCAAGCGTGTTGTGAGAAATGGCCAATTTAGCTACCAAAATGGGTATGAGTGGTCTTCGAATTGGCGGACGTGTAGCGGCTCGTCATGTGGGTAAGAAAGCTGCTAAAGAGATTGCAAAGGAAGCAGCAATACAAGCTGCTAAAAAAGGGAAAAAACAAGTCTCCAGAAAAGTAGTAAAGCATGCCTCTAAACAAAGTGGAAGAGCTTTGAAAAAAACAGATAAAGAAGAAACAATATCGTCTTCGAAAGGTAGTGCTGAGAATTCGATGCAAATGAAACTAAAAACAACTAAGAGACAAAACAAATTTGAAGGCAGTCAACCTAAAACTGAAAATAGCGAGAACACTTTAATAAAATTGTCTAAAGTAAAACCGAAACAATCTAAGTGTGATGAAAATCTCGAATACCATTATTCTACAAGAAATGATACAACTATTAAGAACCCATTATCTTTTGTCGCCAAGTCTAAAACGACAAAACCTAAACTCAAAATTCCCACTAATTCAGTATTAAGCGTTGAACCAGGTATACAAATTGAAAATACGCAGACACCTGCACCCATCACAAGACGTTCTGCCTCTCCAGAAAACCATTTCAAAGATATTTCAACGACGTCAGCAGAGAGATTTTTAGAACGAAAGCACTTACAACCAAAATTAGACTTGGAAACACCATCATTACATATTCGAAAGGCGCCAAAAAGTTCCCTTGATTTCAGAACAGTTTCTTATGATAGTGAAACTGAACAACCTATTCAGCCGTCAAGACAACCAGAACTTATAAAGGTTATAGATAACAACTCTTTGGATCGACAGAATCTTAAACAGTATCTTCATCATGAATTGCTTAAAAGTGAAGCTCTCAAAGAAGTAGGAGATACTGAATTTAATTTAATGCTACTACGTTTGGCAAAATATTTGCTTATGGATGTGGGCGAAACGAAGGATGGTAAACAGGATTGTAAAAAGAAAAATGAAACTTCTGAATGGCTGGAAGCTTTAAAAATCATTCTCGATTCAAATGCGCTTTGTAAAAACAGAAGAAATGATAAGAAGCAGAAAAAGCAGGAATACGGTGATAATTTAAAATGTAACTGTTCATGTTCTTCTACATTTCTTAAAGACCATAGTAAAGATGTTTTGAGTAATGAGGATTATAGTAAGGCTGATGAACCAGTAAAAGAAAATGAATATCATGAACTTGTGGATAAAATGAAAAAGTTCAAAAATGATGCTGCAGTTTCTCAAATAGCCTCGTCATCATCAACCTATGGGTCACAGACATCGAGTTCAACTAATTTATCAGAGAGATGTAGGAACATTCATCGTTTAAGGTATATAATAGGTCTTTTGGATAATTGTCCTCCGTCATGTTATGAAGAAAAGACCATTAAAAAACGAGCTAGACACATGGATTGTAGAAGAACAAAACTCTCAAAAGTACCATCAAAATTGAATCGTAGTGACAAACATGCAGTCATTCAGAGTCAACCAAATACTTGTTCGTTAACGACAAACTTGTGGTGTCCAACGACCCCAGTACCATGTTACTTAGCTCAGATGCCATCTATATATGAAGAGCCAACAGTTATCTCAAACATTCTAATCGACCCAGATTATTCTTACTTTGATGAAATCTACTGGTGACAATTTCAAACACCGTTTTCTGTATATTTATTTTGTCTGCGTATGTCAGGACATAACACTAACCTTCATAATAAGTAATTAATTTCTCTACTTACTTTGGGGATTTTATTATTTCTCAGGTGAGTATGAGTTACTGTTTTGGTTTATCTTCGCCACAATTATGTTTCAGGGTGAATACAACACATTAAAAGTCCTAATTAGAAAATCGTGTTTAGTGAGATCGCTTATAATCCCCATTAAGTAATTCATTAGATTTGTGTAAAATACTGATACATAATTGTCATGACTTAGCCTATTTGGAGGTTGGTGGATGTATCGATCAACCTTTGGAAAATGGTCATAACTATCAATGCTTTATTGTAGAGTCACTTTGTGGCCTAAGTTTGGAAATCAGTAGTTTTATTATCGAAAGGTAATTCAAATACGTTTATCGGCTTACTAAAAGCTTTCGGTTCGAATACTATTGGTTGGACTTGAATTGCTGTAATGTAGTGTTTGTGAAAGCTTCAACCATTCTTAGTTAACTTTTCGATAGGTATTTTTCAAGATATGAGATTTTCTTGGCCCAATAGATTAACTCCGAAGATCTTTAAGAATGGTAGTCCAGTTTTGGCAGTTGGATTGACTGAGTTATTAGCTGGAGTCTGTGAACTGAATGTAAATTCATCTGACTGACATTGATTTCTGATCATCTCAGCTTATAAGAAAAGGCAGGAGATAACTATTGTGGAATAAGTTTGACTAATTTAATGTATAAAACATTAGTTTAACATTTAACTAGGGGTCGTTAAATGTAAACTCGGGAAACCAGGTTGGTTCGAGACCTAGATGTGAGTTAGTGAGCCATATATTCTCCCTTATTCAGGTTCTGGACACGCAGACATACCTACCGACTTGGCTGATTGAAATGGTTAAGATACATAGAACGCATGTTATTCTACAGGCTACCTTGACAGGTGATGTCGTCTGGTGTAGAAATAGGCTGAAGGTCGGAATCTGAGCAGTTATCGTAATCATTAGTTGGGACATTGAGTAACACAGCTCAGAATCGATCACAGTTGTGAAGATGTTTTATGTTAGATTCCGTGTCCTAAAACCTTCCTAAGCTTTTTTATACCTAATCGTTTCTACTATTACTGACACGGCTACAACCTCTGTCACTTTGTAGTTCAACATTGTAATTTCATCCCAGGTTCTACGTCGAAAATGGTTGATTGACTGGTTAATCTTCTATATGAAAACCCACTTTCGGTTTAGCGTACACAGATAACGTGCTATTATTTAGTGAAAAATTTGACAAAATCCATCTTTTTCCGAACTTTTTGAATGATAATTCGTTTATAATGCCCTTACTGCCGTAATGGGAGATGTAAATAATATTAAATATTTTTTTGGTTCTGTTTAGGTGGTCTCCTCTCCCGATTTTGAACACACAATATGGAAATAAAGATGATAAATGAAGTACCGATTTGTCAATGATTGACTGATTACTTCTATCAATCCTTACAACAACAGAGATGAATTCTTAAAAAATGAATGTAATGTACTTCATTATGCTTGAATACATTTAAAAAGAGAACCCATAACTTTAGATTCGTATATTTTGTTGTTCAAGGGAGTTTTAATCATAGTTTTTGTAAGTGCATTTAGTATCAGACTGTATCTAACAACTACATTAACAAAGGTGAACGGACAAACGGAATAGAGTACCTTTGTGAAATCACAGTTTATTTATGTAATTGTTTAGTTTGAATGTGACCTGTCAAGAGTGTTATTCTGGTCATTGCTTTTTGTTATACTTGTTCATACTTAATAGGAAGATTGAATCTAACAATTTAAATGATCATAAAAATGATTGGATTACTAATGTAAATTAATATGACACTCGTAATTACTACATATGTAATTATTATAGACTCCACACTTAAAATAGCTAAATAAACTTAGAAATACCTAAGTAGACATGTCCAAAGAGTCTATTAAAAAAAATCACATAACGTTTGCTAAAATTCCATTCAGATTTGACTGAAAAATGTTGAAAATATAAAGAGCTGAGGATAAAGATGCAAGTAAACTTAAATCTTATTGATCAAAATCTCAGTGATGGGAATAAAATTCCATTCTTTAGTCTAACACAACCTTATTCAAAGGATTAGTCAAGATAACCAGACATAAATTTGAACTGTTTTCATTCCTCTCCACTAGACATACGAGGCCAAAGTAAAGTAACACGGTCAAGTTAGTCATTGTGTCAATTATTTGCACTCATGAAACTCGACCTGGTTCTCCAAAACAAATGTCTACTTTACATGTTCACTGGCGAATAACATGCATATCACATCAAATTATATTTTGGAACATGATTGTAGTTCACAATAAATGACTTGTACTCATATTTAACGGGAAATTATTAATCTGAAACAATTATTTTGGGTTGCTAAATTGGTTTGTTTTTTAATTTATTTGTTATTTTGATGCTTCTCATCATTTCCCTGAAGAATATCAGACCAGAATGGCGGAAAGAGCATTAGAATTATTTTAGTTCGGACGATCAAATTTTCATGATTATGGATGGTAACTATAGTAATTTTTTCCTGAAAACCATATAAATCGTACAGATCACGCAGTCCTACTTTACATATGGAAGCCAATAACTAATATTAACCAGAACTGTCATTAATCTTTGAGATTATGGAGTAATAAAGTTCCGAGCTCCCAATTTTGGGGAAATGGCACAAAAACCCAAAAATTTCCCCAAAGTTGGGGATATTTTCGCCAAATAACTTTTTAATTAAATTTTGTTTACTTCCTTCACTATTTTCTCAGGGAAATCTCATTTTCAGTAAACCTCATAATAGTATTGATGTACAACATTATGTTCATTCTGTCACTACAGTACTCGATAATTTATCCATGGTTCAATGTTTCACGTTAAATGTATCATAAACTTTTGACTGTTATCGAGCTATTTAATCATTACATCTGTGAATGAAGTCTCATTTATTTCAAATGTGTTCACAACTTATCTATAGCGCAAGGCTCAATGAAGCGAAGACGAAGAGAAATTTTTTCGCTCGATTCGATCTTTATTTACCAAATGTTAAAATGGTAATTTTCACTTGTCTATTTACTTGGCGAATTCATATCAACTACTAAATTTCTGTACTGTATATTGGATTTATGTGGATCATATAAGCTGAAAATCTCTAAGTTATCATTTAATTTGTGATAAAACTCTTCCGCTTACTAACCTAGGTTTCCATAAGCTGAGCTATGAGATTTATAATCACCAAGTATTCTACAAACCTGCTACTTGAATAGAAAGTATTCATCCCAAATTTTTACAGAAGTTCGGTAAGCAATTCTACTCAAAATAATACTAGTTGTCCGAATGCATAATGAATAATATTTTATTTCAGTGTTATTAGGACATATGTAACCACAAGTTTATTTACAGCTGAATGTGTTCAATGGAGAGGGCTATTCTGAAGAAGCGTAATTATCAAACAGGTCTCTTGCATTATTCACTGCTACTGTAAACTCTCAGATATATGCTTCACGATGATTTAATAGCTAAGTGTATAAAGTTTGTTAAGCATAAATTTCGAAGGATTAGTTTTAATGATGGAAACATCTAACGTGCACAAAATTCCCAAGAAAAACTTTATTGATCATAGGGCTTCGTTTGTATTTTAATCTAATGACTTACTTGATTCGGATTTCCTGTAGAAACTGATTCAGCTAGAGCTTCTTGTAGATGAGTGGCTAAAAATGGTAGATGAGCTTTTAAATTATCTATTGGTATCGGTAAATTCCCAATTATCTGTCTGTGTTCTACTTTTGGACGTCCTTCATCATAAGTTTTTTCAGAGCGTGCAGAAAACGGAGCTAGTTCCAGAAAAGGATCAATGAATGATTCATCTAAATCTAAAGTCCCCATTATTTCAACTGAGTGAGGTCTCTGTCCTGGTGAAAAATAGCTAACATCTATGATGTCTGACTAAAATAAATGAAATGACTTTAAATTAGAGAAGTTAACTGTAAAATGTATGAAAAACTGTAATTTGGAAAGGAAAGTAAAATAATTCATTAAATTTCACATTGTAGCGTTGACGTTAAAATAGGGTAGAATTGCTTACGACTATATGAACACTTCAACTCTTTGTCATACATTTCAAAATCTAAACGAACTCATAGTCTTGAACATTATGAGTAACGATATTATCAAATCAACTGTTAAAAAGATATTAAGAATATAATCCAAAAGTAATCGTTAGAAAAAAGTAAGTAAAGCACTTGAGAACTGTAACACTCATTTGTTAACTACGTCATGATGATCATTTGATAAGCAGGAATAACTTATTCATTATTGATATCCCTTCAACTCAGTCCCTAATGATGAATCCGAATGGCCGGATATATTTTTCAGGAAGGAAAGGTAATATGTTTGTCTAATCAGACAAACGCCGAATGATAAATGAGAGAAGCCGACAGGCGTATGCTATTGGTCAGGATTTGATTTAACTTTCTGAGAAAACAATGTTGGTTAGAAAAATGTTTTTAAGATTCAAATTTCAAAATTCAGCATGAATTGCTACACGTACATAAGAAGATATTTGATGATAAACAGCATCTATAATTTTATTTTTAACTCAATAGATCATTGGATAGCTTCGTGGTGACTGAGATATTAATTGCTAGTTTTTAATCTTAAAGAGATACACTTACATTTGATTGACGAGTTGTAAATCGGATGATATTTGCACCTTCATTTCTTAGACTAACCACAGATAAATAATACAAATAAGTCAGTGTGTAAATTAGAAATCTTACATAGGTGTGTTGCTAAGGTAATTTTATTTCGGATTGGCCTTCAGAAAAAGAGATTTCTATTAAGGGTTTTCTTATCACACTATTTTCGCATCCAGAGTATTACCAAAATAGTTAAATTTCAAAATTACTTTCATAAACTACTGCTGTGGCGGTTTCATGTACGATCAATCATAGAACGACTATGCCACGATGAGTTTGAAAAGATTTGTAATGGTATAGAAATTTCACATTGTTTTACATTTTCCAAACAGAAAAACCTACTTTTTTTAATCCTCATAATACACTTTCGAACTTAACGTCAGTTATCGACGGTTGTATAATTAAAACTTAATGTTGATAAATTAGCTAAATGCATCTTTAAGAAAATATTCAATAGATTTTTCAACTGAAGTAGGACATTAGTTGATTTAAGCGTATAATAGATAACTGAATAAAATTTGAGGACTAACTTACATTCTTTTCGTTTTTCCCTCTATACTGATCAGTCATGGTTATTCATCGAGTTAAAATATTCATTATTGTTTGATTTTATTATATTCCTTTTAAAAATATTAAACACCTGGCTATATAATTTACTTGTTCTCTTGTTAGAGAAAAAGCCAATTAATGTTTTTGATAATTATTTGTTTAAAGCAACGAATGGTAAACATAATAGAGTTGCTATGCCCGCATTTATCTCTACGATTATTCTAGTGGATCAACGTAAATGATGAACAAATTTAGTAGTATATAGAGATTTCATTATAAACTACTGTCTTTTAATCATCCAGTAAGAATTTCTTATTAATAGACATTTACATCGTCCTGAAGAAGAAAATAATTTTAAAAGCCTATAAATTTGATAGTGGAGCTTTATACGTGCTTTATCGTCTTGCTCGATCTAATTAGGTTGATCAAGCTATGTACACTAGTCAGAGCACAAACTACGGTACTCGTAAATTGCTGGATGGTTGCTAATGCTATTTAGCCAGTTGGTCTACGTTAAATTGGAAACATTTATTCTCTCAGTAAAGTAGAAATGTAAATGATAGTGATGTCGGTCAAATGCTTTAAAACGTGATCAATGAAGATTTATCACTCATGTTTCGAAATAGGTTATAGGATTTCGCCTCAGTAATCATTTCATAACAGAACTATTATAACTAATTGTTGATCTGTTTTATTTAATGAAACGCATTTATGAAAGGTATAGATAACATAATTGTTATTGGTTATTAATTATGTAATTCATGTGTTAATTAGCATATGACTAGTTTATATCAAGGCAACTCTATTTAGATCAATTCGAAAAAACATGATGTTAATTGAAATACAAAATGCACTTTATATATAAAGTTTTATAATGAACATGATTTATTCACAAGTACATTTTATTTTTTAGTAAATTAAATAACTCCTGCTACATTGATTTCACAGTACATAATCACATGTTAAAACCGATCAGTTTTAAGATAAAATGTTCTTCAGATACAAAGTTATCCTCACTAATCTACTTAATTCTAAGTAAGTTGTATTATGACTATGCATTATAAACTTCACTGATAGTTCTGAAATTCTCCTGATAACGAATCTAAGCAATCACTTGCAAGATTTCGTTGTGACTCCTGTTTTTAGCAAGTCAACAGTTTACATTTGGAAACTAGATGAAATCTTAGAGCCAGCAAGAGATTCACCGTATCGCTGTCCCTTATTATCATGTATGATTTCTATATTCAAGAAAACTATTGTTTCTTTTATTTTCTAACGAATGGCTCCTTCATTTTGAAATTTTTACTGATCTGAGGGTAAGAGTCAATCAACTAATTCGAAAGCGTTCTTTGGATTAAGCGAAAGTGTCTTTTTATTCAGTAATCAGCAACATATTGGCAAAATAGTAGCTGGTCACAACGAGCACAAATAGCACCATATAATTGTATACTTAGATAATTTAGAAATATGTTTTATTGTCTTCGTTACAGTCCTGTTACTCATCAATGAACTGGAATATGATAAGACTACATAATGTTTTTTCCTAATCACTGATTTTTCGTGAAATCCTATATACACTTTTATGTATTCACTCATTACTTTTTTGAGATTTCAGTCGCCTTAGTCGTTTAAAAGTTACTACATTATAATTGATTCACTAATTAAGAGTTAATGAGTGTTAAACGAAATATTTTGGAAAAAAATAAACGTTTTAAATAAAGTACTTGGTGTACCAAAATCCATATTTTGTCATTAGGTTACAAAGGTCACATTTGAAGAGAAGGCGAACGAGGGATGTTTTTTTTTGATGTCCTGTTGAAAGGAAGATTAGATGGTTCTTTACAAAAAACAGTATATAAAAACTGATCTGGGATGGTTAGTATACGATTTTCTATAGCTGGATCCCACTGAGTTGAAGGAGAAACTTAATTCACTCTTTATCCTCAAGGATTAGGAGAATATTTTCTTATGACACAATAAATGGTGAACTAGTTCATCTTCGACTAATACTTATCAGTAATGGCTATCCACCCAGATTTGTCAATAAAAACTTGACACCAAGACTACATCCTGGAAAAACCAACAGTTTAAAAGAAACTGCTTTTTAGGAATATCAAATTTAAAGGAGATACGGCTACCAAAATCTTCAAAATCCCAAAATAAAACCTATCCAGCTGAGCTTCGTATTGTCTTCTCAAACTGGCCTATCGTTCACGGATGTGTTAAAGGTAAACTTCCACTTTTGGCCGAATCGATGAGCATCTATAAATTTATTTGCTCTTGTGGTGGAGGTTACATTGGCCCCACAAAGCTATCATTTTCCAAATACGTCTCAGAACATTACCCGGTGTGGTTTTCAAAAGGGGAGTGCAAAGCTATTATTAGCTTAATACAGTAGCACCTGATTAATTCTGGGCATTTCGCTCCAAAAGTCTTCCTTTAAAGCAATCTATACAGTCAAAAGAATTGGGTCAAAGGGAAGTAGAGTCAAAAATCGATGGATTTATGAAGCGTTGGCGATCCATCAACTCAAGTTCGAACTCTGAATGCAAAAATGATACAATAATATACGGAGAGAGCTTTTTTGATCAACGTTAAGGCCTTGACACGATAGGCCAACTGGTTTAGCTTCCTCTTTGAGAAAGTTATAACTGTTATTTGTCTGAGTGCATACGTAAGGGAAAGTGACTAGCATTGTGATCCTTACAAAACTTGTCCAAACTGGCTGACTGAAATAAATTTAAAAAAACAACGATTAGTTAAAAATAATATTATCGATAACATCATTTATATATTCCCCAGGAAACGTTGTATGTTCACCTTTTCGGATCAAACAGAAGAAAGTCTGGTCTTTTGCGTTTCCGTAATGATCTTCTCATGTGATTCTGTCCTGGTTCTTCGGGCTTCTAGGTCGCTAGACTTCCTATATCGGAAATGTTTAAGAAACTTTTCCACATTGAGCCCAGTTCCTCAAGTTTCTGTAAAGTGCCAGGATACTCCAGTATACGGTTGTCATGGCGTATCCATTTTTGACCCTCAACTTTCACTACATACATTACCTTCCCTCGTCTCTCAAGTATTAGTTCACGAGTCCACTGAGGAAGTAAGTATCGGAAATCGCAGACATATACTTCCCTGCTCTTTGAAATATTTGACGCTTTAGTCCATAATCGAAATTGGATTGAGTCTCTATGTTTTGGTTCCTTCTTCTAATACCTTGTTACTTTGGTTTAATAGCATTGAGGACAGTCTTATTTTCCTTCAATACATGATTTCTGCTGGAGACATTTGATTTGCTGTTTATGGATTTGGAGTTTTTCTGTCGACCAATAGAAAACCAGCAAAAATTTCCTATATTCCCCCATCCCCATTCGCCTTCAGTAGTGCTCTTTTGAAAGTGTCCACAAACTTTTTGGCCTGAACATTCATTTGTGGAAAGTATGGGGTTTAACGGAAATGTTTAACTCCAAACTTGCTACAAAACAGTGGGAAGACTGAGGAAGTAAACTGCGTGCCATTTTTCGATACGAAAACATCTGAGACTCCAAAACAGCAAAATCACACTGATTTTCGTCCAACTACTGGCTGACCTTGCTTCTTTATTTTTCACCCTGTCGTCAATTTTTATAACTTGTGGGT